GTGAAAAATGCCAAAAATTATTATTCAATGACATACTAACAATAAACAGCATATGCTGATGGATAGTGGCCACTGCCTGCCAGTGGATGTCACCAGTGTTTGGTGGTGTCTGCCACCTGCCATGTGAATCAACCGGACCAAATACCAGTGGCAGCCAGCATAACATGCTGAACACTGGTATATCCCAACATACCCCACTACTTGCCACTGATACACAGCAATATTCACCAGTTGCTGCTGTATTCCGATGGGTTCCAGTGGACAACGAACGGTGGTGTTCACAAGCGCTCACAGTGACGCACCCGTATATGGCAAGGACCGCCGGCGAACACCAATGGCCACCAGCGAACACCGGTGGTTACCGCTGGAAGTTGGCGAACGCCGAAGTTGCAAGTCACGGGCTTATAACTCAAAATCTGCGGCTTGTAACTTGAAGGCTGTCTTTCACTACAAATTTTCCCCATACCAATCTGGAACTTTATCTTGCCATGCAAATCTTCTCGTTTTTTGGCCCGGCGTGCGCAGCACTGTTTCCCAAGCACAGCCGAACAGGATATGGCCTGGCCCCGGTCAAAGTCCGCAAGTGTCACGTGTGAAGGGCGCTTTGTCTGAAATCGGAATGCGTGAGTCCCAGGTTTCCAGAATACCAAATCGACTGAATGTAACACAAGGACCCCATCGGCGCTTAAGGGTCCACGAGCTCAACGAGCATCTTTGGGTTCGCTGCGGGCACCGCACTGTGCGTGGCCTTTGTGGCCTCAGAACGTCTCGAAGAGAGGTGGCAATGAATAGGACCATGGATAAGATGATGATGACGACGATGACTGTCATAGCCTCGCATTGGTATGTACCTATGTAGACTTAAATCTATTATATTTCTGCCCTACTGTACTTTGCTTCGTGGTGTCGCGTCAGTACTAGTGTCGTGGGCTCCCTGCGAGGTCGAGTATCGGGCGTTGGCGCAATAGCCTGGTGAGCCTCCTAGCCTCTTGACTGGCTCCGACACACACAATGGCTGACATTTGTTCAAGCCGCCCCTGTTGTGAGGGCCACACAGAAGTTTTGGCCGGCTGCTTATGCTACTCGTATGCATCCTTGTTATGTAGTACAAAATCAAGTTAATCAGCTGTGGCTCTTCATGCAAGTCACCTCCCCTCATCCTGTGTATTTGTACACCATGAATGCTGCTGCCACCATACCCTGGGAAACGACATGGCATTGGAAAGCTGTGCTAAGGACAACGGCAGGTGCACATATGGGCGACGAGCCATGACGAATGGTGGGCTACCAAACCAGTGGTACGGTATGCTGTCCACTTTGTATATTAATTCCCATGCGCACTTTTGGCCCGCGCGCGCACTATTTCGGGTACCGCGCACACAGCTTTGGGCACACGCACATAACTGGCCTGCGCGCGCCACAATCAAAGGTTGTCTAGAGCAGAACTACGCAAGTGTCTACAGGTGTACATCTAGTATAGTAAGAGGAACCTCAGAGGCAAATTTATTGTACACGTAGTCGACATATGTATTTTCAACGTTGAATGCACCAGATTCCTCAACTACTTGACGGGCCTTGTCTCGACAGGATGTGTTCATTCCTACAAATTGCAGGTCAGGTAGCCTCATTTGAACCTCGATAAAACTCATTGCTGCCACCCAGTTAGGATGAAGCATCACATCTCCAATGTGCTTCCTCCACTGAGCCTTCCAAACCCTGATGCACACCTGATGGTCCGTACAATTGGGCGCCTTGTGATCATCAATTGCCAGAGGAACGAGAGCAAGCAGCCTTCGTTCACAATCCAGCCCTTCTCGTGCACAAGCGATGGCTTCATACTCCTTGTAGGATAGCCACTTCGATGAGGCGTCGTACTGCAGCAGTTGCAGTGTTGAAGTGTACGATAACAATCCCCTGATCGCCGGCTTGATCCAGGAGTCGACATTGTACTGCCGCCCTAGACGAAGTCTGAGTGTATCAGGGAGCACACTGCACGACAACGGGGTAATGTGGGCAATAGCCCACTGCTGCCCACCCTTCATGTTTCACACGGATGACAGCTTCAGAACGGCGACAAGATAATCAAGTGGATACGGAGGCAGCTCATAACTGGGTATGCCCAAAGATGAGTCCTATGCATGCTACCAAAATCATTCATTACTCACCCATCAAGCATGTGCTTCAGCAGATAGTCCCACTCCTTTGCAGTCGCTATTGACGGCAGGATGATCGGGTTCTCTGCAGTTGAGCCCTCCCATGTCGAACCATCCTTGTTCACGGTGGGTAGAGGATATAATGCCAAAAATATGTCCAGATGCTTTCACAACAGTCCGCTGTGGAGCCTATACAGATGATGTTTGCACTTAAGTTGACAGTGAGTTTACAAAGAAATCTGGTATATGCTGATAACATACCCAGATAAAACAGTCACCGTCCTCAAAGTAATACTTCTCATGATGGGTTATGGTGGGAACTACGGCAGCATCTGGAGGTGTAAGGCCTGACATCTGAGGTTGATGTTGGAAGGAAAGGAGACAGGTTATCCAGCCAGACTGACAGTAGGCGGGATCGCCGCATTAGAGAGGAGTCAGGGCCGCCGCAGTATCCAATTTAGGGCAGGCTCTGGTGCACTTCACCACACTTCCCTGTCGTCTCCTCTTTATCTTGCGCAATGAATAGTGACACCATTAGCAACCTTCCTCTATTAGCAGACTTTCCTGAGCTGCCCTTGCCTATCACCCATCTTGCTTGGTCTTCCAATATCCGACAGGCCCACCAGACTATATGTGACGCACACAGCCGCTCACTTGAGGTTCTACAACAGGACGACTCAGATCCTCTTTGCCTTCGCTTTCACAAAGACCTGCTGCTCAATGAGATTTTCCCTCTCTTAGTCGTGCTTGAAGAGCAGCAAGAGCAGCGTTTGCCATCTGATTGGCTCGAGTCAGCTGCCAAAGCACTGGCAGCTGCAGTTATTTGGTTTGAAGCAGCATTAGAGAACAACATAGAGCAGTAAGTTGTACCACTCTTCTATGTATCACAGCCCACTGAATTATCGCATAGTGAGCAGAGCCATGTGCAAGATGTGCAGCCTGTGCGCTATATTCGCACCGGAAAGCGAGGCCGCCCAAGAAAGCAGATTGACGAAGCATACCTGTGGGAGGCCATGGCTTCTGAAAGACATATATCTCAAGTCCGCCTATCCAAAGCTCTCAACATGCACTGACACAGCATCCGGCGAAACCTCAAGTCGTGCGGTATACGTCGAACCTTCTGCACGCTTACCAATGACCAGCTAGACACCATTGTCCGTGTATACAAGACGGCCAAACCAGATTCAGGCATGCGCTATCTCATTGGATTTTTGTGCAGTCATGGTTTGCGTGTGCAGAAAGCATGTGTGTATCAGTCCCTTCACCGAGTAGATGGACTTGGGGCGACATTACACCAGCGTCGGGCAGTACGACGAAGAGAGTATCAATCCTCTCGTCCCAATGCTCTTTAGCACTACGACGGACACCACAAGCTCATCCACTGGGGTATTGTGATCCATGGCTTCATAGACGGATTCTGTCGAACGGTGAGTAGAGAATTATCGGCTGTACAACCCAAAGTCCTTAGCCACCTGACGGTATATGGTGAGCTCATCATACCCCAGGTTCTAGCTCTCAAACCAAGCTCAAATAACCTGGCATCAACTGTTCTCAATGTTTTCTTGGAGGCAGTTGCTGCATACGGCCTACCATCCCGTGTACGAGGAGACCATGGAGGAGAGAACGTGGATGTCTCTGTGTACATGATACTTCACAGAGGTCCAAACCGCGCTTCGTTCATGTGGGGGAGGTGAGTACAGCTTACACATCTAAGTCTACACATATTTAATCTCATTCTTCGCACTAGTTCTACTCGCAATACTTGAATTGAACGACTATGGGTTGAGGTTGGCCGTCAGTTTGGCAGAGAATGGAGGGCATTCTTCACTCGTCTCGAGAGACTTCACTTCCTTAATCGCAACAACACGCACCACCTCTGGCTTCTACATAAACTATTTTTAGGTAATATAAATGATGATTGCGAACAGTTTAAGCAGGGATGGAACGCCCACCCATTATCTGGAATGAAGACAAATAACTTCAGCCCTCAGGTACCATATCAACGCCTCTTGATGATAAGTATATTAAGCCGCTCACTTTTTAACTATAGGACCTTCGTTTATTGGGGCAGACAGAGCACGGCATATACAAGGACAACTGTGACGGAGTTCATCCAGATGTTATCAATCAATTCTACGGAGTGGCTGGATCATCGCGTCAGCCCAGGCATGGACAGACTGGTGCTGGGAATCCACCAGAGGAGGACGAGGATCCGGCGGGCAATTCAGATACTTCTGAAGATGAAGACAACCTTGAACACCTTGTCGGCCAGAATCAGCAAAACCACATATGCCATCCTCTGATACCTGTTCCTGATACCACCACGCCCTTTGCAGGTGATGCCACAGAGCTGTTTTCTGCTGCCTTGGCAGAGTATCTGATGGAGCCAGGTTTACCCGAAGGATATCGAGTGCTTCCTGAAGAGCTTGGGGACAAGGGTTATGAGACATTCAAAGTGCTTCGTGTTGGGAAGAGAGGTCGAAAGGAAATGGTTATTTCCCTTCCAGAGCAGATCTGGAGGCCACGAACAGAGTCGTGGGCAAAAGCTGTTCATCTCATGTCCTATTTAATACATAGTCAAGAGGAATCCAAATAGTTGTTCTAGGTGTATAGATCTCCACACCTGCACGAACCTCCACGACACCCTATAAGGAAGAGTGACCTTATCTCATTTGTAGACGCTCTAAGCAGAAAATTTCCCAGTGGTGTTCGCACTATTGTCGTGATACGACGACTGGGCTGCGCGAGCGCGAACTGGCGAGTGGCACGCGGGCACGATCTAATACACACGGTGTTAGTCTGAGTGCGAAGGAAAAGAGCACGCTGTATAGCTATATACCTAATACACACGGTGTTAGCTAGACAGGGGTCTGGTAAGCATACTACATAATGCGCAAGGGCGACGAAAGGGACTTACTCTGAGTGCGAAGGGAAAGAGCACGCAGAGTGGGGATGCGAGAGGAGTCCTTATATACTAAAAGGAAGCAAAATTGAAAGTCCGCTAGAATGGGGAAGCCTGCCATAAAGAGGTCCGTGCGTGGGAGCACTACATATGATTGTCCAATCACTATCTACGTATTAGCAGCGCCTAATCTAAGATGTCCACCTTAAGTCCATGCCGGGCGGAACGCCGAGCCAGAGCCACTAGGTGCTTCAACACGCACTTTCGTACCACCACGACTGGCCACCTTCTCCTTGTCCTCTTATTATTATGATTTGTAAAGAGGTCGACTCAGATACCAATGCTCCTTGTACTTGCCAAAGGTGGCAACCTCTAGCTCAAGGCCAGAAGATTTGCTGCGGCAACTGCGGCCACTGACAAGAGCATCACACCGTGCAAGCCGAGCAAGATCCTACTCACGAAAACAAGAGAAATGATGCCAAAGTCAGTTCCATTATGCGTGCTTTACAGCCTAGGAGCTCTAGCACACAGCAAGCTCGCATTGAAACCAATAACGGACTGAGGAAGGTGTTAGCTAGTCAGAAGTCAGAGAAGAGGAAAAGTTCATCGTCCAAGGCTGGAATAAAGTCTCAGGTATGCAGTATACACCCTTCCAAGAATATATTTGCTTACATGTACATTGTTCAGGCTGCCGCCAGCTCTGCATCGAGCAGCTCAGATAAGGTGAGCTTTTCAGTCTGCTCTATTGTTGTGGTTCCCGAAGGATTGGTGAGCAGCATATAGCTTTGGGTAGCATGCTGCTAACTTTACCACCACTAGAACGCTGACAAGAGTCTGGTCAAATCTAAGATTCCAAGCAGCGCAGCTTTGGCTCACCTCCGAAAGCACGGTCTAGCAGCAAACAGCCCTGACTCAGGCTATAAGTTTAAGTTCAAGGACAGTGCCAAGACGGTCACCAGCAAGATTTTCTCTATCTTGCCTGCACTTGCCACGTACTTGATCCGCAAATATTTGTGGCTGAAAAATCTGCGAAACGAGGATCATGCTCAGACTCACAAGCTACCCTTTGTCCTGCTCAGCTCTGCTAATAGAGCGCTGTTCATATACTCATCTTCTGAGTTTGATGGACAGCAAATATGGGACGCCTCAAAAAAAAACAGGCAAAGGTTGGAGAAGCTGGATGCTATATATTAGTAAGCATGGAAAAATTATGTTGACACCAAGATCTGACTGACTGTAGCGCTGCGTGATGTTATTGAACCTGAGGAGTATCGGTCCTGGGGTGAGTTAAGTGATGTTGAAAGTGGCAGCAGCAGCACAAGTGCGGAGAGCAAAGAGTACACCCCCAAGAAAAAATTGCCCACGCAGAAAGGCAAGGCTCCAGCTCTAAAAAGGATAAGCAGCGTGCTGCCAAGCGCAAAGGTATGTGATTATCTCCTGTCTGGCTTGGTTAGCACCGACTTACCACACTCTGTAGCTACGGTCTTCTCCGAGCCTGAGGTGGACTCTGACAATGAACATGTCAAGATAATCACAAAAGATAAGAGAAAAGGAAGAGCTAGAGGTACGTACAAACTCAACTCCCCTTGTTTCCTGATTCTTACAGACCGTACGGTTGATAATCAGATAGTAGCGAGAGCCCATCTGAGCATGCAGCAAAGCGCCAAAGACCGCTATTCTATCAGCTAAACGCAGGATCAGACAGCCTAGAGTACGAAGAACAAGACACCCTCACTGATAAAGAGATAGAAGCTGGGCTATTCCCAACTCACAAGCCTGCGTCGAGCGTACAGGACGGTGGACATGTTTGAGAGATATTCAATGATATTGTGCTTACTTGATCTCTAGCCACCAACGACGTCCACTTCAGGCTGTCGCCAGAGGTCGAGACTCAGGCAGCTAGCAACGCTGAGGCTCCTGAGCAGCTGGGCACCGCCATGCCACCAGGGGCGGAAGATTTTGGAGACGTAGCTCCTGAGCAAGACGACGATCACGCAGACGTTATAGATCTTACCAAAGAAGCTCCTGCGATCACAGGTCTTACAGACGTCACAGGTGAGGCTGACAAGGCAAGGACGCCACCACCACAACAGGATCTACCGCCTGTCAAATCTCCAGATTCGCTCATGGTCCAAATTGATCCGTACAACAGGCCCACTGGCTACACCTTCATGTACTTCAATCCTTAAATTTGTTCATTACAAAACTACCCAGCTACTCTATATACGCTATCTATTGGCTCAATTTCCTACCTAAGTTCATGTGCGTCCGACGATTCAGCGCTTCGGAGTAACAAAGCTGCCTGCCAGATGTATATTGGTTTGTTAACGACTACCTATCACTTTGAGGCTTAATCAACTAAGCAAAAAGCTTTATCTGTGTCTAAGGGATTATTTAAAACTCTAACGAGGATTCACAGAATTTTATCAAAGGCATAAAACAGCGGTGCATGATCATGTATGGTGCCTGCCCGCCAGGCGCGACAACAGAATGGGATGCCGAGTCCCACGCTTGCTTTCAGCTGAGGCTGTTTGGGTGCACTTCTATCACCTTCAATTACTCCGCGAGGGCCAATAACCGGTGGTAGAACAAGTGTGGTTGGCGAGGACAACAAGACCGGACGGGAATGTGAGTCCAAGGCCGCATTTGCCGCCGAGCTTTGCTGCCCTTGGCTGCATTCAACGCCATGCGCTCAGTGGGCCACAACTGCACCGGTAGCAGCTCGTGCTCGTGCTCAGATCTTTTGACGGAGCTTGCTACATCCTCACTTAAGTCCTCACCTGGGTAGAAATTCACTCGAGAAACCATCAAGTGCAGCCAGCGGCTTGTCCATGTTCACAGGCACCGTTAGGCAATAATGAGACGGGCAATGAATTGGTGCTAGCAGAGGGCTGGAGGATGTCCGAAAGGAGCTGAAGGTATGTATTTCTGCCAGCAATCCGCCTGCACTGCCTTCTCTCCTCTAATATCTACCCTATTTTGCAGCCGTACTTGAAGACGCAGTCCGAGTTCACTGTGTATGCAACCCAGAGTGTGCTCTTCATGGTGCAGAGCCCAACGCCGCCGCCAAGCCTGCATGAAAATCTGGCCCAAAAGTGTGTATCTACTGCTTTGGGTGCGTATGGATGCTAGTGCTCACTGGGAAGGAACCCAGAGATGGCATTAGAGGTGTACTCGTCGCCAAAAACATCTTGCCCTCCACCACGCATGCGGCTCCTCCACCGCCGATACCCTTCCGCACCACACAGTAGAAGAGCAGATACATGCTTCATCGCACCCTCGGCGACGGCTACTACGGTGTAACCGCAGCTATATGAGGAAGTGATGGCCATTCATTAGCAAGAGAGTGGGACTGCCAGGACGCATCGAAGAAGCAAGCTCGCAAGGACAATGCACGGGACTAAGGGAGTCATTCAATGCTCGAGTAGAATATGCTGCATTCTGCAAAGTTTATAGTAATAATACATAGATGAGGCCAATTCATGTGTGTAAGTCTGGCTCATGGGCGAGCGTACCAGCATTTGTGTGCGCGCGTACCTGAAGTTGTGCGCGTGTGCTCAAAGTTGTGTGCGTGTGCCCAAAGTAAGATGAAACCTGGAGAGCGATGGATCGACTGAACGAAAGAGTCCCGGACCCGGACCCGGACCCTTAGACGCTTGGTCAACGCGCGGACCTTTAGACGCCAGTACTATGATGGCACCCTGGTTTATAAAAATTGAGCAAATCTGCTTCTTGTAGCTTACCACAACCCCTCTTCGTGAGCGGTTTTGCATAAATCGATGTGCGCACACCTTGACTATGTATTCGCATTTTTGTTGTATTTTATTGAGGTCTTGCAAGAGCTGCGGATCGATTCCGGTGCGCAAAATGGGACCTGCTCCCTCGTTTATTAATTTCGTCACACTAGTGTCACACCAGATGCCGTCGAGTCGTGCTGCTGCCGAGAAGCCGAGCCGTCTTTCCAAGGTCGACCTTAAGTCACGTAGGCACACGCGAGAACATGTATACGGGGGACCTGGGGCCTGCCAGGTCCTCCCCGGTTTCCCATGCGCATTACTGACAGCCTCCAGTGGCACTGCTGAGCGTAGGATCGTTGCGACTTGCTGTCGAGAGCCCCTCGTTGCCTGCCGTGTCTGAGATCAGGCGGAGTGACAATTTCATCACACCTTGCCCGTTCATTGTAACGCTCCACAACTGTTCCTTCTCTGTGCATGTACCTAGCACTTTTAAAACAAAATATATTAGCCTACCAGGCTCAGTGCAAGTGCACAAGTTCATAAATGTAGTCGCAAGAATATTTGGTGAGCGAGATCTGGTTGGATCTAGCCATCAGTAGCATGTTTCAGCCAGTTTTAGACTGCTTCTGAGCATCTACAAAAATACCATACCGTCTTTCACCTTATATATGTCATGATATGGGTATCATATTATAGCATGAATACAGAGCTATCTTAAAAAATATTCCCAGCACCTCCGGAGGCAGATTGAAGTAGCAAAAGCAAATTAATAAAGCAGGGAACACTAATAAACGAGGGTGCCATCATAGTATTCGGCGGGAGCGTGGGCCCCCGTACTATGCTGTCCACTTTGTACAAAAAATCCCACGCGCACCTTTGACCGCGCCCGCCCCAAGTCGGGTACCGCACACACACCAGTCATCGTGATCCCTGCGATAGCAGAGTGGCCAGAGGGCTCTTAGAGGTAGGGCATGTAAGTAACAATTTTATTTGTGTTAGGATGAATGTAGGCGATTTCGGATGAATAGCACAGGTCTGGCTTTGAAGCTTGGCTGCTGTAGCTGCTTCCAACGGTTGATGCGAGGTTCCACGGCGAGTTGGGCGGGGTGCGTCTCGAGTCATATACTTTCCCAACCCCCTACTGACCAGAGGCACCATTCCTCATAGCACTCATGCGTTAACGTACACAAAATGGAGTTTAGGCGATTCTATCGCACTGGCGCAAACGGCCATGGAAGTCGATCCCCGCCATCCGAATCCACGGCTACCGCAGGAGCTCCTCGATAACATCGTCAATTTCTTACATGATTCTCCCAATACTCTCTCGACTCTCTCTCTTACATCAAGACGCCTTCATTTCACTGCTCGCCGGTCACTCTTCCGTTCGCCCACCATCAACACTTCGCAAGCGCCTCTCGTATCCTTTCTTCGAATTCTGCGCGAGGCCCCTTTGCATGTGAGGTTCTACGTCGAGAACCTCACCCTTGTTCTGGAAAATACGATAGATCGCGACCATGACTCCCCGGAGTCCGTGACGCCGCTTTTGATCGCTTCCCTTCTCCAGCTGCTCCCTAACCTTTGCTCGCTGACCCTTGACAGGGTCTTGGCACTGCACGAAATTGACTTAGATGGAGGGCCCGGGCAGCGAGCAACGCACAACCTGGAGCGACTATCCCTAGCCGGAATGAGGACGCTGGTCGCAGATGTATTCCGCGACTACCTTCCGGACTTTTTGCTACCCGGCAGCCAGGACTCCCTCATCAGCGACATTATGAACGACTCTCCCTATGTTCCTCATGTAGAGAGCACGCCGCGAGCACTCACACTACCCGATTCTCCTCACAACCTTGCCATCACTCATATACGGATTGACACGCCCCCACCTCCGCACAACTGGCTGCAGGCGTTCGCGCGCACGGGGATAATGCCAAGTTTTGTTTCTTCACTGCAGTCTCTAGACGTGTCTTGCCGGTGTGGCCTCGAGGCTGGCCACATAGGCAACTTCCTGCGACTTGCCGGGCCTACTCTCCTGCGACTCGGCTGCCGCATACACCCCAATGTTGTGGTGGAGACGATCGGTTATGGCCGCACCTTCGACCACGTAGTTCAATATTTGGCTATTCGCGATAGCTGTCCCATACTCCAGACCATCGTTGTGCGATTCTCTGCGCACAAGTTCGAAAACCTCGGCCCGGCACTGTTCGACCTTCTCGCCTCACTTCTCGCACAGCTGCCGGAGTCCGTTCGTTCATTCGTTCTTGAGCTTGACCTGGGCCATGACATCGCGCGTGCGGGTGCTCCCGTTTGGGACACTATGCGGGGCGAGTGGGTAAGGCTCAAGGACGTGCTCGAGCGTGTTGGGGTTGTGCGCCTTGAGCTCATTTGGCGATATTCTCTGAATGGATTAGGTGTCACGGAGGAGTTTTCAAGCATGGTGCTTCGGATTTGCCAAATAGAATCGCCGGGTTTATGCGCAGCGACGCCTTCACATTGGTGTCTTACTGGGAGATATACTGACCAGCATTGTAGACTGTTGTTTGATAGTTTCGTTTCATTTACTTCACCCGTAGCTAATTAAACTGCATTACAGAATATACGCGCCTGTGATTTGTGCTTGCAAGTATTTGAGACATTCTGGAAGCGACGAGAACTCTTCAGCACGTGTAAGCCGGCCGCAGGGTCCTGTTATGGATGCGATGCGTTATCGCCTATGGAAAAATCAACTCCTAAGCTGTACCTTACCAGAGCACGCCTCGGTCTCATGAATAGACGGAGATGTCTAAGCGTTGCATGCCCCATAAACATCAGCTGCTCAAAATTTGGAATACTGCACGGCCGTTTGAGGGTACGTCGACGTTTCCGCTACGCCACGAGTCCTGTGAATAACATACTAGTTTTGATATAGGCTACCACAATGTTGTCGACGAGGCGCGATGCGAGTGCGCACCGGATACGTGTTAGTCAACAGCGTCTGGAGTTGCGTCGCTAGCCGCTCATTACTAGAACAAAAGGCTAGAAACTCGCTTTGTTCTTGCGCGTCCTGAATTTGAAGACCAACTTGGTCAGCAGGTTGTTCGGTCGGGGCTTTTTTTTGAAGCCGGATTCAGCCATGAGTCGTCGAAATCGCGGCTTCCGCAAGAGCTCCTCGATCTGGCCGTTGAGCCCTTACCTCCCTGTCTCTCACATCGAGATGTCTCTATGGTCGTGCCCGCAGATATCTCTTTCGCTCGCTCAGAGTGCCTATCCTGAAGAAAGTATGTGCAGAGACCTGCATGCTATGCTTCGGAAGGCCTTGACACAACTCACATCTTTACGATATCACCTGTGGCCGGGCCTCTGCTATCTCTCCGAGAGCGTCTGCGACCAGTTCCGACGACCCGAGCACCTGCGAATCCTCAAGCTTCAAGTGCTGTCCCTGGTTGGAGATCTTCAGCGTTCGAATGCCTCTGTTTTGTTTGTTCGTCTACGCAAAGGAACTATTTGACTGCATTGAAGACGGATATCGACATCTCGGATGTTCTCCAGAGCAAGCACTAGATACTGCAGTCGACTGTTGATCCTGTGAATGGATCGCTGGCTCTCATGATATCAGAGAATCTGCTCTTGGTGTAGTTAGCGTTAGTTCCATCTCAAGTTTGTTGACTGCGCCGTGTACTAGTCCATAAGTAATCGGCAAGAATGGAAACCACTCAAGTAATTAAGTATTTCTTACCGTCGCTTACATGTCTTTGCTGATGATGTCGCGCTTTGACAGTAGGCGCCCTGTTTTCTTGTCCTCAACATCCACCACGAAGGTCTCGTCGACGTTGTGCTTGCCGTTCTCAACAGTCTTGTCGCTGGTTGAGGTCGCTGGCCGACTTGTCCTGTGGATTCTCGACAAAGACTACTTTAAACTACAACCATCGCTATGCACGTCGCTCGTTTATATCACCTCTTCTCGGCGGCTTGTGTTTGCACGTCTGTCTTCGCCTCCGTCGTGGTACAGAATTCCCTCGAGGGCCAACTGCCTCTCATTGCTAGAATTAACGCTCCTTACAATTGGACAGTCTCTAACAACACGTTTGTTTCGACGCATAACGCGACGTTGGACTACAGCGCCGCAGACCTGCCCGGATGGTTGGCCTTCGACCGGACGACTCTGTCTTTCCATGGGACGCCCTTCAAAGCGGACGAAGGATATCACACCGTTACGCTAACTGCGAAGGACCCTAACTCTTCGGATACGGACTCTTCCAGCTTCTCGCTCCTTGTGTCGTCTACACCTGCACCCAAGGTCAAGCACCCCGTCATCGAGCAGTTCAAACTTCCTAACCCTTCTCTCTCCTCGGTGTACCTTGTCTCGCAGAATTCTGCGCTAAAGTCCTCTGTACCTGCCCTTCGCATCCCGCCCAAGTGGTCATTCAGCATCGGGTTCCAGTACGATACCTTCACCTCGGACGCGGTCGAGAACATATTCTACGCCGCGCTTCAGCAAGATGGTTCCCCTCTGCCCGATTGGATTGAGTTTAATCCTAGGAGTATCACCTTCAACGGCGTGACGCCATCGGAACGGGATGAACGTGTGCCCCAATCTCTGGCTCTGTCTCTTCATGGCTCTGACGAGGAAGGCTATTCTGGCGCATCTCTCCCATTCAACATCTTTGTGGCGCAACATGAACTGTCTTTGGCGACGTCATCTCTGCCGACGATCAACGTCACCGCGGAGACTGAGTTTTCGGTCTCTCTAAACTCTCCTGCGGACTTCTCGGGCGTGCTCTTGGATGGACAGCCCATCCAACCCTCGGATATCATCGTTCTAGAAGTCGATACTTCCTACTACGGTGACTGGCTCGACTATGACACTGCAAGCAGGACGCTTAGCGGTACCCCTCCGGCTAGTGTGGACAACGATGAGGACGATCCGGTGTTGCCCGTGACCATCACGACAACGGTGAATCAGACTCTCGAAACCAATGTCTCCATCGCCGTGGTTCCATCGTATTTCACTGCTCCGTTGTTGCAGCCTGTCCTCGTTCAAAACGGAGAGCAACTGTCATTCTCCCTCGTTCCATACTTCTCGAATGCTACGGGAACAGGCGGTCATGACGACATCTCGCTTTCTGCGGCCTTTGACCCGGACAACGCAACTCAATTTTTGACTTTCGATCCCTCTGCCGCGACAGTATCGGGTATGGTGCCGAGAAACTTCACTGACTACTCGCATATAACCCTCACTTTTACCGCCTACTCGCATGTTACTCATTCGACATCGCACACTAGTCTCCCCATCTCGCTCACTCCCTCTGACTATGCGAATTCTCACAATACGACTGGCACTTCACTCTCGGCGGCTACTAAGGCAAAGCTACTCCTTGGGCTCAAGATCGCGTTTGGCATCATCGCGGGACTTGTTCTCTTTGGTCTTTCCCTTGCTGCTTTCCGTCGGTTCGCGCGAATTCAGGACTCAGCCCTCCTTGGCGAGGAAGGCCAGCGCGCGTGGACGGACGAAGAAAAGAAGTGGTATGGCATCGGCATCGACGTTGATGGCAAGGACGCTGGGACCGAACTTCGCCGTGTACGCACCCGGCTAGGCAACGAGTCGCCCTACAGCAGTGGAAGCCTCGGAACACCTGCCGTAATGAGCAAAGCTGAATTCTTCAACAGAGTTCGATCAGCTGCTCGGCGTGTCAGTGATACGGTGCGAAACGTCGGCAGCACGAATAAGAGGGCAAGACCCGTCATCGGCAAGCCTACCCTCATAATGGCCGATGATGGACGACTCGCAGACACCGATGATCTACGTCTCGTTCGCCCATCGCAGACACTAGACCCATTCGACGATATCAATGCGACGGCTTATGCTCCTAGCGGGACGAGCGGGTGGACTGGTGCTAGTATCAGTATTCCTGGATCCCCATCGGGCTCGACCGGAGAGCGCTCTATTCCTCGACGCCGCCCCGATTTTGGACCTCCCGAACGCTCGACGTCGGCCATGCTCCTCGCCACACCCCCACAGACGTACGTCTCCAAGACCCACGCCTACGCTCACGGCGCGCCGCTCAGCCGCTCCTCATCTACCGATACCGACGGTTCTGACGACTCCGCGCGCACACACGCGACAGAGGCCGTCGTGCAACGTGCTCGGAGCGTTCGTAGTGTCCGATCCGCTGCGAGTGTAGTTTCCGTTCAGGCCGAACATGGTGGGCCCACGCCGCGTCTCGTTCCCTTTGGCGCTGCGCGTGTACCTGTGCCCAAGCTGTCGCAAGATCAGCCCATCGCGGGAAACGGACCTGTGCGCACGAAGCGCGTAGCGAGCCAGATGGCGAAGGTCTTCCGTAGCTTGTCGATAGAGAAACGATTCAGCCAGACCGAGGGCGCCCCAGGGGACGACCTGAGCGTTGGCATCGAGTACGTTCGGGCGCTTGGCGACAACGCTGACGAGTTGACTCCTGGTACGTCTAGCTCTCCCTTGATGGCATTTGCGCTTGACTCACGAAATTGACAGCTGGTTCACCATCACCATCGTTCTCGGTGGCCGAGTCTTCACATATGGGTCATGGCGAGATGAGCAGGAGCGTGTCCGCCGCCGGGCCAGTACCCACGCCGCGCATGCTCACGCGCACGGGCGAGCCTTTCAGGTTCCGCATTGCTCTCATGCTACCTCTATCGCACACGAAGCCGCTGGATGTTCGCCCCATGGGTGACAAGAAGCTCCCCAAATTTCTCAAAGTTGACCTTGCTGCCCCCGCGAGCGCCGGCGGCGACAAGCGTGTAGTCGAGTTGTCGGGCGTGCCTGCCAAGGCCGATATCGGAGAGGTGGTCATTGGCGTATATGAGCGTGGAGTGATTGAGTGTGTTGGACGGGTCATCATCGAGGTCGTCGAAGCTGGTCGGCGATGAGTTCTGCTAGCCGCTGACGCATCCTTTCAGCGACTTCCTGTTTACTAGATGTATTATACCGTATCTGTTGTATGTTTAGTCTTGTATTCTAATACAAGAAGCGGTTTCGCTTCGCTACGCCATTGAAACTTTCATGGTGACTGCCTATATGTGGCCGGTGTTTGCGCGGTCGGTGTCTTGTTGGTGTTCACTTCCCGCAGATACACTGAGCGTCAAAAGTAAATGAACATCCACCTGACACTCTCATTCTCTGCGAGCTCTGGGTATTAAATGCTAGAAATATTTGTGCGAGATTTAATATACATGGGAATACCAAATATAGAATATTGAAAGCTTCGAGTGAAAAGCGATAGTGCTATGAGCAGATGATGTTTCGACTCACATTTAAACTGGCGCTTCCAATGGAAGTTTGGCCGTGCTCTACCAAAATGCCGCAGCCTATGCACTCAGAAAATTGTGTAGGATGTTTTACCCCTTATTCCTGGTTACTAGGGCTATCTATAAGAGCACGCTTCCCAGAGCTCCCCAGCTATTAATGGACCTTAGTGACATTCTTCCTCCCACATTGGCTCCCACTACAGACTCTTGGTTAGAGACTGAAGGTCTCACTTTTCTGCTTAGTGAGTTAAGAAACCTTGCAGCTATTTGACAGAATTATAATTAGAGCCTCAGGAGGATGAAGGCAAAGCATGGGTGCCTTCCTTGACTGCTTGCATGTTGCCTCTGAAGTGTGCCTCAGAATATTTTTTCTACATAAAGATGGTGCAACACAGGCTAATACAATACTTCCCAATACAGTATACAAGAGATTGAGAAAGGTTTAAAATATAATCACAGGGATTTGCAATGCTGGGACACAATGTAGTTAATTGATGCTGTCCGATATGCCACTTCCTCCAACAACTGCCTTCTCTCAACCCAATAACTGCTTTCTAATGAGCTGTTTTGTATTATCGCATCCCTATTTGCTCTTCCAAGTAATATTGCAACCATTTGGGCACCAGAGCATGCACATGGACTTCTGGGAAAACATGTAGCACCTCCATTCCTTAAAATTCCAGAGCATGAACTCTCTTGTGTAAAATATCTGAAAGGGCCTCAAATATTTGTTCAAGCGAGGGAGACTCCAAAAACAGTTGTTAGTAAGGCTTTTAAGCTGCAGTACAAATTTTGCATTTAAACCTACATTATGCATGCAGAAGTTGCTCTAGAAATCAGCCCCATTGTATAATTCCTGCTGACCAATGTATTACAATTTTTCATAAATATGCAAGCCAAAACCATGTAGAGTTTCCACAAATGAAAGCATGGGAGTATCTCCAAGATTCGTGTCACAATAGAGGTTGGATCCCGAGCGGTGTGGGTGTTCATTTACTTTTGACGCTCAGTGTAGCTCGAGTAGCCACTAGACAGTTATTCTGTCCATTCACTGAGTGGGGTGGTTTGATATGAAAGATATCTATCCCAATGAGAGTGACGTTGAGTATTCGGAGGCCGTTCCGGTCAAACCTGAGGAGGACAGGAGAGCTTTCGGGCTCTGAACGTCTATAACTTGCTTACATCAGCACTGCCATGCCCAGATATGACAATTTCGCTGTTTCGGGTACAAAATTGCGATACTGTACGCGCATGACCACATTTTTGCGGTACGGTCACGAAGGCCATGAGCTGCACTGCACATCTATGAACTGGGATTACGAGTCATAGAGAATGATTTCGTTGGACGTTGAGGCGCCGGGGACTTTCTGCTATGGCGCTTAGATGGGCGCCTACCTACGGAAGTGTTTTCTGCTTACTCGAGGGGTATCAGCTAGCGCCGTGTCAGCCGATTCCCCAAGGAAGCCCATATGTATATATTATATCATGAGAGGTATGTATGCAATACAGAATCAATTGTGTACATTGAATAGTATCATAGCTTGCCAGAGCAAAATAATGTTGTGCAGATGTGCATATGGCAATAAGGGTGCCAGTGTGACTTCACCATAATACACACAAGAGTGCCCGCTTATTCCCAAATGGAGTATTTTGTCGAGGGCACATCAGTCCATAAAGTGCCCCTCAGGTCATTAAAAGGCCCAAAATTCCCTCTATTCTAATCTTAAAAAGAATTTATTCGAGCGTCCGCCGGTAGCTTCTGGGTGCATTCTCTGCACAAAATACCCACATTTCACACAGTCATACCCAAAGAAATCACCTTTAGCAGGAATATTGGACTATAATGTCAGTTGTAGGCAGTCAGAAGGCCTGAAATGCACCCTTCTCTGAGAGCCCACCTGAGAGCGTTTGACTTTCCCGCCATTGGATTTTCCAGCACAAACTTATTCATTTTCAACATTAGCAATGGTATTCTCATACTTTTGGATAATGCCCTCACAATGGTGGCAGCAGGCATGACAATGGAGTGTGCATAATGGGCATTGAATCAATCAGCCTGAGACCTCAGAAGCTTCTGATGATGGCCAAGCAATGAGACGCCACTGAAGGAAACAGCCCCACAGAGTGCCAGTGGTACAAGTCGTAGCTGCAACCAAGATAGACTTCTTGTAAGCGGAAGCACGTCGGCCTCAAGGAGCTGCTGGTACTGCGTGCGGATATTGAGCTGCGTGCAAGAGTGCTATGCAGGCAATAGGCCGATGGCACTGGCAGCAAAACCGCAGTTGACGTAGCAGCCGAGGCTGATGTGCTGCAGGTGGCGAGAGAGCTCAAACAAATGGGCCAGGCTATCTGTTGAAGCGCCTAGTGGCTCTGGCTCGGCGTTCCGCCCGGCATGGACTTAAGGTGGACATCTTAGATTAGGCGCTGCTAATACGTAGATAGTGATTGGACAATCATATGTAGTGCTCCCACGCACGGACCTCTTTATGGCAGGCTTCCCCATTCTAGCGGACTTTCAATTTTGCTTCCTTTTAGTATATAAGGACTCCTCTCGCATCCCCACTCTGCGTGCTCTTTCCCTTCGCACTCAGAGTAAGTCCCTTTCGTCGCCCTTGCGCATTATGTAGTATGCTTACCAGACCCCTGTCTAGCTAACACCGTGTGTATTAGGTATATAGCTATACAGCGTGCTCTTTTCCTTCGCACTCAGACTAACACCGTGTGTATTAGATCGTGCCCGCGTGCCACTCGCCAGTTCGCGCTCGCGCAGCCCAGTCGTCGTATCACGACAATACTATCAATGTTATATATCAAATCTGGGACACAAGCACCAAGCAAACATGCACTTGGATCATTGGATGACCGCTGGCCCCGACAGGCGAATTTGTCCCCTCTCGGGCGGGAATTTGATATTGGGCCACCACATGTCATGATGTGCGGGGTTCAGCCCAGATATTGCTCACACGTCCGTCGGCGCTAAGCACATGGTTCGAGAGCATGCACAGAGGGTAGATCGGCATGTGCGGCTTGGGACTGAGCGTGAGCGAACCAAGGAATTGTCAGACTGCGATGGAAAGTGAGTGGCGCTGGCGCTGTGACCCTGGCCCCTTCGTGCACTGGCAGCGTAGACAACTTGGATCAGCCGCACCCACTCTTCATCTCACTACGTTTCGTGGTCAGCACATTCGTCGGGTGGGTGAACTCATCGAGGTGTGGAGTGCCGAGTAGGTTGCGCTCAGCGTGAAACCATCGTGTGCACCCGGTCTAGCGCTGTGGGTGGCTAGTAGTTCCTGGTGGTAAGACGACTGCTTGTCGAGATGCTGAAAGCACACCGTATGGCACCAGAGCGGCGACCGTGAATAGACTTGCGAGACGATGGTGTTTCGTACTAATCGTTCGCAGACGTCCTCGCCAGGCTGAGAACGACGGCGCTGTGCGCTTCGGATCACTCGGATCGGACCTACGAGTCCGATAGGGGGGGGGGAACCAGCGGCTAAAGCTTCTGAGTCAGTGTGTTAACCAATTCTCTAAAGGGAATCGGAAAGGGAATCGGAACATCAGCGTCACGAAAGTCGCAGGCCTGGGCGGTCTTCAAATCCTCGAATCCGAAAGAAAGTAAAAACCTTAGTGATAGCAAAATGAAAGGCCTACGCAAAGAAGACGTATACGACCCCACCGCAAGCGCTGACTCCTGTTTCGGGGGACAAGGTCTTATGCTAGTGTACAATATTAATCATGGCAGGCAGAATCTGCAGTATACTACGAGATATGGTCAGGTACAGCGTGTGTTTTCCACACGAGATACAAATAGTCGCCCCATCTGCCCCCATTTATATCTCCTGTCTTCTCGCTGTACCCCCATCCATCCACCTTCTCGACATACCCTCCGCGTAACAGCGCCAGCTGCGTGATCTTCACCGGAGACATGTGGTCGTTTACAGCACGTAAGAAGCGGTATTTTCCTCCCGCCCACTTGGCCAGATCCGGCCAGTCGAGGTGTTCGCCGTCCTGGATAATCAGGTCGAATCGCGAAGCCGCTTCCGCGGGGTTGTACGTATATATTGGTCTTAGCCAGACGTATCTCGAGGGAGGTGAGTAGAGATCTGGAACCAGACGAAGGCGACACGTACTTCCCGCCGAAGCCTGCGTTAATGTCATCGTTCCCTCCGCTGACCTCGACTACGCGCACAGCCGGCGCCTGAGCCGCATAATCTCCATAGATGACCTACAGAGCCGAGCATCTTAACCTTGCGTCAACATCCCGGAGACTACGAGAGTGTACTCACCTCTATGTCTCGGATGAAGGAGACCGGACGAACTCTGACTGTGACGTCCACTACTTTTGTCTGGTACAGAGGTGCCGACGATGTCTTGAATGTGTCACACTCGTAATTTAATCCCGCGAAATTAAAGACTTTCTGGTAGAGGTTCAGTTTGCTGCGCGGGCCAATAGTGTCTGATTGTCTCAGTATCTTGGCTCTAGTGCACCAAGAGTAATGAGGACTCACATGTTTGCTCTGTCGACTGCGTCGTCGCGTGCACCACCTCGACGGTACGCTCCTTGACATGTTGAAGAGCGGCGTCGAACTCGGTCATCGTTCTGTTGTCCTGTAAAGCGACGACTGCAAGTACTTCGAATGCTTTGTGCTCGAAATCGAAGGAAACAGAATTGTTCCTCTGCCGCTGTGAGTGCCTGTAAACGGCCTCGTTGACCTCTCTGTCAAAGACCTTCGCCATAAAGGTGGTCGTGTGGAATAGCGTCTTCCGAAAAGTGATGGTACCATCGTTTTCGCTGTTGTCGTACTCAAAGACAGGCTTCCAGAATACCGTTCCTTGCATAGAGACCGACAAGACGGGGTTGTGCATGGCGAGCAAGAGAGGCAAGTCGAGACGTAGCTGCACAGCACGCTGAGAGCAGGTTGAACATCTGTTTTGAGCTGCGGAAAGCACCTGGTGAAAGAATTTCGATGTCATAAATCCCACATGTACATCCTTGGACGATCTTCCAAGGTACTTAGCAGGGGTGGGTATAACATGAGGATATAAAGTTCAATGCAGCAGTGGCACTATGCCGCACGAATCTCATTCATATAATTAAGGTGACACACTCTGCGTATACGCCCCACCAAGAGTTCTGTCGTGAATGTGTGCGTATAGACAGCCCAGAGATCAGAAGTGCCCACTGGCGGTATCATTAATTGCTACGGTGGTAGAGCCCTGGAGATGCGCACTGTAATAATGCCCCCACTGAGTCAATGTTAAAATTGCAAACGCTTGGATGCGCACCGACTGTCTTTACGGGGGCTGGAGTTGAACGGCACTGCAGCGGCGTCAGAGCAGGAGCGCATGGGCCAGCCGCATCGCGGGCGCGGCTGCCACTGCCAGCCGCCGCCGCCGCCAACCTGCTTTAATGTTGAAATCAGCTGGTTAAGCAGAAATAGTCAAACTACTCACCCCGGAGCCCAGCAATACAGTCGAGACTAGTACAATGAGGTCAACTTGGGTGCAAGCAGAGGTGACCGTGCGATGTTGGAAACGCCAGCTGCGCCGGATTATGTAAGCGTCGGCATCTGTTTCGGGAAATCGGTGTTGAGATTCCCACCTCCGACGGCCACGACGGCCAAGTCTTCACCATGTCGACTGTCTATCTTAAATTCATCCTATATGACGCGAATGAACAACGCGTTTTGCGCGCCAGTGGCATCAAGATTGCAAGAGACGCCACAACTTTTGAGGTCGAAGAAATGTGCGCCAAAACTATAGGATACGATGGCCCCAGCCGGCTCTGGAAGGTATTCAATGCTCCCGGTTGTCTCTCTTATGTCTCTTGTTGACCTTAATACTCTAGCCCAACGGTTCCTATACATTGTCCATGCATGAGCTGGCCGACCGCCTGGAAAACGCGGGCCACGATCTCACACAATTGTGTGAAAGCTTGTCTGATGCTCCACGGGACGTGTCCGACCTCTTCCTAGAGCACTCTCGGGGACTGCAGCGTTCTGCACAGCTCCCGACCTTGGTGTTTGAGAAGTTCCAGCTACCTCAGTATGGTGGTGATCAGCGAAGTGCGGAGCGCCTCATTGGGGATGCTGATGTCCGCGAACTGGCGCAGAGTACGTGGCTCCAGCCCGAACTATTGATGCTGCTAACTAGCATCATCCGCAGAGTTTGATGAAGTGCTGAAGCTGGGTCAGGCCGTGACACTATCGCAGCAGTGTCAGCCGATTAACTACAGAGCTCATCAGCTGACTCCTTGCGCTATTCTCGACGGCCGCCGCGCCAGTTCTCAAACTTGCATCTGCCCTCCTATCGAGCTATTTCACGAATCATTCGCTCAGTTCCGGGCCATTGCGTTCGACGACACACACCAACCGCCCGAGGGCGTTATTGTGTCCACGTTGGAACTCATGAAAAATGCGTCCGCAATCGCCACCTCCGAAGCCGCCCGTTCGGGTAGCACTCGGAAGATGCTTGGCAAGTTGCTGAATCTCCCCGCAGTTCAAACAGTCGATCGCAACAAGAACTCGCCCGACCACGTCATGATCTGTTCTTGCAGACAGCTATCAGGCACCGCAGCTCTAGCCATCATCGAAGAAAAGGCAGAGCTAGGCACCTCGGGCGAAGGATCTGTCCAAGGTTCCTTCTCCTACATGTCTCACTGGGCGAGCCCTGACCAGAAGGTGTGTTTTTTCAATTCTCTATTCGACCATGACGAATGACACCCCACCAGCAATTGGTCCAAAATTGCTCCGCTCCGTCTTTCATTATATCAATCGCCGGGCCTTGGCTCGTCGTTTGTGGCGCCATCATTACCTCCCAAGTCATCGTACACCGTCTCACCGACTACATCTGGCTCGGCTACAGCCGCAACATTGACGATGCTCGCGTAGTACAGATTGCACGTATTTTCAACGGCATCCGAGACGCGGTAGAAGGCTTAGTCGAGTTCTACCACGGGCTTTCTCCGTCCACAGAGAATCAAAAGGCTCGGTTTTTCTCTAGGGCAACCTCCTTTACGATGCCCGATCCGCAGGATGCGTCCCGCACGACAGAATGTCAGCTCCGGTACCTGAGACCACTGAAGACACCGCACCCTGCGAGCACCGTCTTCCTCGCAGAGATCGTAAATGGTACCGGCGACCACATTTCAAAAGTCGTCGTCAAGTTCGTTGAGCGGTACGGCGAAGCAGCGCACCGCGCGCTGACGGAGGTAGGCCGTGCGCCCAAGCTGCTTTACCATGGAGATGTCTGGCGTACGGATCCAGCCCGGCGAGGATGCGGCCCCTGCAAGATGGTCGTCATGGAGTTGGTTGAAGGCAAGACGGCGAGCGACAAGTACGGAAACAGGGACTACGCGGCGAAGGTTCCGGAGGTGGTGCGCGACGCGGTGCGGAGCGCGGTCACTGAGCATTTGCATGGCAGGGGTCTCGTCCATGGAGATATTCGCCGGCCAAACATCCTCCTTGCCGGCGAGGAGGAAAATGTCATGATCCTCGACTTCGACTGGGCCGGGCGGGAGGGAGAAGTGCGTTATCCACTCGATCTCTCCGAGGGGATTATCTGGGCAGAAGGGGTCAGTGATCTTGCTCCGATCCTGAAAACTCACGACGAGGAAATGATCAGCAACCTATGATGCATGAACCGGTTGGTCTGTCCTTGTATTCGAATTTCTGTGGCTCAAATACAGAATAGGATTTCATGAACGGTCCTCGGAAGTTCCTGTCAAGTATGCTTCTTCGGCCAACGGAGCCAACCCCTGCGTGTGCGCCGTGCAGGTGCGTGGTGATATGATTCAGCTCCCGGTGCGTTTTATGATAGACGAAGGGTCTAGGACTCTGAGCTCGATACTTCACTCCCAAGCGACTTTTGACATCTCCTCCAGCTCGCCATAGCCGCCTAGCCGCGCTCGGAGCGGTCTCCTTCAGTCAAATACGCTCTGTCACCATATTTGGAGCCTGAGAACGGGGCCTCGTTTACACGGAGCAAGATACTTGCACTTCGCTGCTGCGCTCGTTGTCGCCGTTCATATCGGCGACAAGGGCCAGGCAGGACCGACGCGTGCAGAGTATAGCACGTGCTATGCTCGTCAGCCTCCATCCCTTTAGATAGCAAGCACGAGCAGACCGCCGTCACCCGCCAATCTGCCTAGGGCTCGCGACACACCTTCCTGCTCATGCGCTCGTCTGCTCGACTACGGCGCATATTTGTACCGGCATATATCCAGGATATTATATCCAAATATACTCTCTTGCCTCGATTAATGTTTTTGAATTCTGTGCGACTACCGGAAGTATCAAAAGGGCTTGACATCACTGAAACATTCTTTTCCAAGAAAAACGAAATGCATGCAGCTTGCAACAGTAACGACTCTTTGGAAGGGCTCGGAAAGCGTTAGAATTCTCGATATCCCATTGACACTCGGCACTCCTCCAAGTACTACAAACGAGATGTCCTATGATGCTGCAGGTATCATCTAGCCGGCCCCGCAGGGTCTGCACTACATGTAAGAACCGCGACGAAGCTCGCATGGCCTCTAGTAATAGGGTGCACCATAGTAGTATGCATGTCGCGCGTAAGTTAGGTGAATACACCAAACATAGATATTAATTGGGCTGCACAGTTGCGAGTCGCGCTAGTACTCAGCTCGCAGAAATCCATAACACAGTAGAGAGCACATAAGGTCTGGGAACGTGACGACAACGCGGCACCTCCATTACCCAAGTAAGTGTCCTACTTGTAAGCACGATGCGTGCATAAGTTAAGAATCCAGAATCAAGGCGGAGACGCCGATCATCGAGAGACAGGCGAAGAGAAACAGGAACTAAATGACACGAGCCAAGACACCAACAACAGAAGTAATAGCGACGGCAACGGCAGCAGGAGCATGAGCGTCGTGAAAGTGGGCAGCGGCGAAGCAACGTGGACAGGCGAGCAGGCAGATCATCAAGCGGGTAGACAATAGGTGGTAGACAAAGGAGCAAAGGAAAATAGGCCGGGAGAAAATTCTCAACGAGCTGAAGGACGTACAGTAGCGGGAAGGTATGACAGGTAGCAGATAGGAATACACATAAGAATAGGGATGGTGCCAGACCACGCGATGGCCACAGGTTTTGCTTCGAGGCGGCTGCTTTATGATTCAAGACAAGTATATTCTCACTCGTTAGCGACCTACGACCACGAATAAGTTCTCGACCAGTTGACATCAAGAGCGAACGCGCGCACCTTCAAGACCCGTCGCCCGCCACCATACCCGTAGTCCTCTTCATCACCTACGCTCATGCGGCTCTCACGCGGCACGTACGGCGCATCATCATGCCCATATCCGTCCTTCTCGTAACTTCCCTCCCCACTCCCTTCAAGCTCGTGGTCGTGGTCTCCCGAGACGGTAAACGTGTTCGAGAGCCCTCCGTACGGATCCTCCACACTCGAGACGGGCCTTTGCTGCTGCTGTCCGTACGATTGCTGTGCTGCTCCTTGTGCTGCCCACTGCGATTGCTGTACTGCTCCTTGTGCTGCCCACTGCGATTGCTGTGCTGCTCCTTGTGTTGCCCACTGCGATTGTTGCACTTGAGGTTGAGGCTGTGGAGGCGGCTGGTACGCCGCGTAGGCAGTGGACGCAGGCGCGTAAGGGTCGCCATAACTCTCTATCGCGCATGCGCCGCCGGCACTCTGGTTTCGCGACGGAGCCAAGCCGTACTGGTGCTGGCTCGACCCATGCGCAAGGTTCGCACCGGCGCCTGCGCCAAGGCCCGCCGCGTCGAGCAGCCCCGCATTTCCGGCCGGCTGGTTGTATGCGTCCGCGTATCCCGAAGGCAGTGGTAGCTCGTAGTAAGTGTCGTCCTGCGGGGGGCTTGCGAACGCGTTGTACGGCTGGGTCGTGCTGCGCGAGCGGTTGAGCCCTCCCGCACCGATTCCGGCGGCTCCGTATGCGCCGTACTGCGCGGGCTCGGCCGCGAGCGGGATCTCGCTCATGTTGTACGTCTCGAAAGGCTTCAGAGGAGGCTGACTGTACCCGCCATGTGTGCCGTCGGTGTACATGCTGCGCGCGCCGAGCGTGAAGTCGTCGTCGTCAAGGTCCGGAAAGCGTACGCCCACGTTGGCGGCGTCGCGTGCAGCCTCGTCGATCTCGCGGTCAAACTTCGCTGCACGCCGGCGGCGAATGGCATTTGTAACGAGGGCGATACCAATCACAACTGCGATGAGTCCGACAGCAGCAAAGACACCCGCAACAGCACCTGTGTTCTGGAAGAAGCTATGGAAGAAGTCAGCACACTATATCGAAAATTGCGGTGTACACAGGAGCTCTAGATTAAGGAAAGCATATATGCGCGTGACAAAAGCATCTTGTAGTTGGCAGTTGGCAACTTCATCGGACGTCCGGAGTTCGGCCGAAGCGCTCGATATATTCAACAAGAACTATCTGCTCACCTTTTGGAGCTGCCGCTATTCTGCGCTACGAGGGTGTTCGTAGGTGCTAAGGACGACGACGACGATGACGTTATGAACTTCGTAACTACGACTGCGCTTCCATCTGGCTGTGTGGACGTGAAAACTGTCGCTGATGTTGGCGGCGGCTGCGAGGTTGCCGCAGCAGGCAAAGTAATCGCGGGGGGCGGACCAGAAGGAGGTAACGATGTAGTGTCGGAAGAGGTAGACGAGGTCGTAGATGATGAGGTTTGGCTGGGAGATGAAGTAGACGCACTCGAAGAAGTGGAAGTACTGCTCAAGGTCGAGCTGCCGCCACCTGTCGAGGCGGTAGGTGTGGAGGTCGTGGAAGTCGATGAGGTGGATGAAGTGGAGGTGGAGGTGGAGGTGGAAGTGGAAGTGGTAGAGGTCGATGTAGTGGTGGTGGTGGCTACACTCGAGCTGGTGGACGCCAAGGTCGGCTTGCTCGGACTACAATCAAAGCGCAGTCAGCGATATTTATGCTATGACCACAAGACCGTACGCACTCGTCGGTTGTTGGAGGGGGAGAAGTGGCTAGAAAGAGATGTGAGTACGAGCCGTGGCCAGTGGAAACAGAACTGACTTGATTTTGAAGTATCAGCCATGTTGGGTCGTCTGCCGGGCGAGCTAATCAGAAAAGAGTGTAGGCAAGAGCTGCGAGCGGGTGACTGGTGGTGGGCGGTAGGTGAAAAACGAGTGTGTGCAAAGGCGAGGGCAGTTAAGACGACATCGAAAGCTGTGAGTTCAAAAGACGAGAGCCGTTTCAATCTGGCGAGCCCATCAGAAACAAAAGTTGATCACGTAAGCAGCACTCCTCCCCCAAGATGGAAGCTCTCCACCTTCGACACGTAGCACTGGTACAGCTACGCTACAACACCGCGATAGCCCTACACAAATAATCGACAAAGCAGGTTATCGACTCTGCTACTCATACAACGGGGTCTGGCGCAGCATGTGTCTTCCATATGAGGTACAGAAAATCACCTTGTCGTTCTCGGTTAATGTCCCCTGTTTTCCCGTTGTACCCCCACCCATCCACCTTATCGATGTGCCCTCCGCTGCGCAGTAGCACCAGCTGCGTGATTTTCACGGGAGACAAGTTGTCGTTGACCGCGCGCAAGAAGCGGTACTGGCCACCCGCGCCCTTGGCTAAGTCTGGCCAGTCGAGGTATCCGCCCCCCTGGATGATGAGGTCAAACCGCGACGCAGCCTCGACAGGGTCAAACGTGTACACTGGCTTGAGCCAGACGTAGCTTCAGGCAATGAGCAAGTGTGTGCGGAAATGCCGATATCTAAGACTGACTCTCCACCAAAGCCTGCGTTGATGTCGTCGTTGCCTCCGTTCACTTCAACCACACGCATATCAGGCCTTTCGGCTGCAACATTGCCGTACACAACCTGCAGTCCGACCACGCATGATCGAACTTGTATCGGACCTCGCAAGGAAAGACCCACTTGTATATCTCGAACGAAAGCCACTGGGCGAGCCTTGACCATGACGTCTACGACTTCTGTCTCGCGGAGAACCTTTGAGGACGTCTTCATCGCATCACATTCGTGATCCAACCCAGCGAAGTTGAAGACCTTCCGGTAAAGGTTCAGTTTGCTGCGCGGACCGACCGTGTCTAACACGTGCGCATGAACACGAACTTTAGTGCACCGAAAACGTGTTGCACTCACATATCTGTTCAGTGGATTGAGACTTCGTCTCGACTACCTCGATGGTATGCTCCTTCAGGTAGCGGAGCGCAGTGTCGAATTCGGTTGTCGTTGTGTTTTCCTGTGAAGCGACGGCGCCGAGGATCTCGAACGCCTTCCTCTCGAAATTGAAAGACATCGAGCTGTCATACTGTTGCTGGGTGTACCTGTAGACAGCCTCGTTAATTTCGCTGACAAAGACTCTCGACGAGAAGGTGGTTGAGTATGACAACGTCTTCCGGAAAGTGATTGCAGGACAAAATAAAATACATGAACCGCGCAATCTCTCTAAAGCAAAATAAGGTCAGGAGGATAGCACACGCCAACGAAGGACTTACATGTACAGGAAAGACTTGAAGTCTTAATGCCAGCTACAGCCGGTATTGATTGCATTTGTGCCCCGTTCAAGACGGACGCTGCAGTTAGTAGCTCGAGACCTATGGTTCTTTAGTCACATTGCAGCATAGTGAACGAACTCCTTCAGCGTGAACCAAGTCACGGTCCTATATTGCAGAAGCAACGCGTCAAGTGAATGAATAAGCGCCCTTAGCACGTGACAAGCGGCGGGCTTTCCTTATTTGAAGCTCTGGTTCGAATTTCTTCAATGACCTCAATTGATGCTAAAAGCGCACGCTCTGCGATTGTGCATGCCCCAATCATTTTGGAACAGAGACGGCTTAATTTTCTTCATAGTTTGCCCCTCACGCCTGTTGGCGCCATCATGAGCGTCCCCGCATCCGTTCCGGCCTCTTCAAGCACCCGACTTGCCACTGAGGCCGTCATCTGACGTTTGGTCTTTGAGCATACGACAGACTTCTGTGATTGAATTCTACGCAAAACATGAGGCTCTGCTGAGACCTGGAGTAACCAACCTGCGCCGCAGCACAGCCCGGCGAAAGTGGGGGCTGACGCTGAAACGGCGAAACATGTTGCAACCAGCACTTCTCGGAAGTGTGGCCCCTAACCTGACGTCGTCACTACCGGTTAGCCACGCCTTTGTCGCATGTAATGGCTGGCACAGCCAATGTGGCTAAGGCCACGGAGGCGCTGACACGCTGCTAGAACGTCGATCTGCCGTGTTCGCCGCTCAGTGTACAGGGTGTGGGCATGTCATTGGACTCGTCCGTATGATATACATGCCATATTGAACTTTATAGCCTCATGCTTGCCTTCTGCTCGGTAAGAAGTTGACAGCCACCTATCCAGGTCATGGCTGGCTGCGGAGGCAGTGCAGCTGCTCTTCCGTCCCCCCTCCCAAGCTCGACACGACATGCAGACAGCTTTCGACATTCTGGGAACCTTCAATGCCTCTTACTATCTCTCGTTTCCCTCGCAAATTCCCGCATTCACCGTGCCTATGCAAGGCACAGTGTTTTGGAAGCCGATATTCGAATATGATAATAGCGAGAACGACGGCAGCAATCATCCTATGCGGTGGTGGGTGACTGCAGAGTCCAGCGCACGAATTGATCTCGCGCTACGCTGCGTTAGCTACTAGTATGTGGCACGCTGCCTTTACCAAAAGCTCTTCACCACAACCGCATACGGTATACGAAAAGCACTTTGTTTCTTTTGAAAGCATTGGCGTCATCTGTGATACACTACTACGGTGAGCAGTTTAGTGGTCTCATCAATGAGCATCCACCAGAACTGGGCTGCTATCATGGATCTTGCTCGCGGAAGTTCTGATTCGTGCTCTTAGGCCCGTTTGCCATTCTTCCGGGGATTTCGTCTCCGTCACCGCCGGCTCCCGACTTCAAAGTCAAATTTCGGTGACACCGGGAGATGCACTCAGCGCCACGCATATCAGGCACCGCCTCGCACGGGAATTCAAATACGTTCACCTACGAGAAGCTCGGAACGTCCCAAAATGCGAATGTGACGGTCCCTAGGAGAGGTAAGCAAGGCATTCGCCCATCGGTGCTCCGCTTCAGCTTCCCTTCCATCAGGCGAGCTACCATTTCTCGGTGTATGATGCCACCTCCAGATGGTGCAGAAGCTGCACCGGTTGCCACCCGCGCCGACCCTGCAACTGGGGCCGCCTATGAAAGTAGATTTCCGACTCCTGGCACAGAAGCTCGCTCATCTCCGCCAGGGCTGTCTATCGGAAATCCTCATGTCCGGCCACCGTGGAATGTTTCAGTGAGGGTCGATATCGCCCCTTTCGCTGCGACTTCGGCCAGAACTCCGCTTCGCCTTCTAGGATCTCCAAGTCAATTATGTCACGTCCCGACATTGGAAAAGCGGAAAGACGGCTCGGTGTGGAGTCTGACCAGCTGGCAGGTATCTTCGTTCTACCGAGCGGCATCTCCGCCGGCACCGCTTCCCAGCTGAACTGAGAATGCTTCACGTCAGCGCGGCGTTCTCCATGACTAGGATGGCAAAGACTGTGAGGTGACTGGCACGCACAAATGGAGCCCACCAAGCACTCAACCGCGATAGGTTGTTCTGTAGGTTCATCATTCAGTTCGCAAATGTCTCGCTTCTATCTCTCCTGCTGAATGTCAAGTCAGGAGAACGCGTGCGTCATTCGGGCCGCATTCGGTGAGCCGCCCCATTTTCGTCATTGCTGCAAGGCGATTCACAGGTCACTCTGTCTAGTATTGGCGCTTTACGGCTTTGTCGTTACGAGAAGCAGAAATCGCATGGAGACTTTTTTAACCGTAACAACCTTGTTATTCCTTACCATGAGATGGATCACGGTCGCAATCATGATGGTGAACACCACTCCTACGACATCCACAGGGGCAGGTATCTCGTTTTGGGATTACTGAAAGGAAATTCACCACTTCACCATAGCCACTGCGAAGCTTCCGTTTGGGCAGCACAAGTTCTGGGTTGCACGGCCTCCGCATAGACAGCTGGTGGGCTTTCACCCGTGATTCATCGTGCTCACTTCGCTAGCGGTAACTACTCGTAGCATTTCCGTCCCTACGAATTTTCGCCGGAACCGAAGCTTTGCGTAGGCTTTGGCAGCTCTGCACTTGGCCCAACATCAGCTGCCATACATATCGTGCGCCTACATTGCCAGAAGCCTCAACACGTGCTCATCTTTCCAATACACGACCAGCTTTTGCAACAGCTTTTCTTTTGTTCCGTGATCGGTATCACAACGAGTGCAAGCACCAGCTTTGTCCAACAGAGATCCCACTATACTTTCCCCCGCTATGTACGGCCGATGGACGTCTTGGCTGGTTACTGACTCGGAGCACCACATCCCCTGATCCAAATCGGTACACTTGTGTCAGTTGTAACGCCACTCGTCAATCTAGATTTACGGCCACTCGACACCGACCCGTCGTCGAGTTGAGCAAGCTCTCAGAGGAATTTGCGAGTACGTACATCTTACCTTACGTCTCACACTCCAGTAAACGGCTCATCTCTACCGTTAGACAAACGCAAGAGTTGGTAGATACTGTGGCCGTATGACCAGTCCGGCAGGAAGTGCCCAAATTTTTTTTTTCCGACGACTTCCCAAAATCGCCATAAATCGAGAGAAAATTATTGGAGGGGTCAGCGAAAAATCGGCGTGACGCGTGACTGCCGGATTGGTCGTACAGGTACAGTATATCGCGTACCGTATCGAAGGTTGGCATCTCTGCTACGCTGAGTTCCAAGAGACCACTGCCGTGCATGCGCAAAAGGTGGGTCGATTAGCACGGAACTGACGGAGTAAAGTAACTTACAAGAAGCACCACGTGCCTATGGGGATATCGGTTTGCACACGGGTGCTTTCAAAGTTCAATGAGTCATGACTGGAAATAACCTTGAATGCGGTACGCCCGGGTTCAATGTGAGACGAATGTACCCTTCCAATGAAAGACACATTAACAGTTTCACCGTTTAAGCGACCACTGGATGGGGTCCAGCGGCCGGTTGCAGCACGCCAGGGTGCTGCAGGAACCGCCCGCCCGCCTACTATCGATACTGCGACGTTCGGGCTGCAATCATCTCCATCGTGAGAAGAGGGCAGATAAAGACCTTATGGTACAGTTGGGCCGTATGCAGACGACTTTCACTTCTCACAAAAGAGCAACGGCATATTTATACAGACCAACGTTGGTGTTTGTAGTATCGGCCCAGCCTTTTCGAATATAACGAGCAACAGCCTAGTAAAAGACGCAACGTAGCGAAATCTGAAACATATGTGTCTCACATGGTCTGCTAGTCTTCGTTGTATCGTAAGCAAGCGCACAGGCAAACAAAAAGCAGAAGAATGTGCGCTAGAGATGGCCCGAATGCTCTCTTAATGTTGGACGTGGTAGATCAGCCTACTAACTTGAGGAGGCTGGCAAGATTCTGAGGAGACACTGCGGTCGTTCGACGTCTGAGCCGCAGCCGTCTGGGGTATGTGTGCTCGCCTCGGTGTCTATCAGATGCTCTCGCGGAATATGACAGTTTCTCCCTAGATAAGCCTCGCATTTCACCATTCATACCAAAGTTCAAGTTATTGTTATATGCCAAGTCCTCGGTGATATTGCCAAGCAATGAGCAAGGAACGCAGAAGTTCGAAGCTAATAATCGTGACTAGCCTTGCTCGGCGCATTACTAGATAACCATAGTACAACAGAAGTACCGCTTAGTCAATAAGTGGTCTTGCGTCGCAAAGCCTTGCTTGCATTTAGCGGCAGGGAGAGCGGACGTATAATAAAAGCAAGAGTTCACGGAGAAACGTACACACCGACAGTAGCAGAGTTTACTCCGTCCGTCTCCGTTTCCGCCCTGCATCTGCATATACGCCTTCGTCGTCTTCGTCATCCTCATCAACATCTACGCTCTCTTCCTTCGAGGATTTAAGCCCCTTCATCTTGCGCGTCTGGAGCTTGCCGAGATTCTGCTTCGCGACGTGTATCTTTCCACGAAGGTCGCCCATCTCGTCGACCTCTAAGTTCTTTTGCTTCTTGCCAAGGCCTTTCTCGACGTCCTGCTTCTTGAGCTTTGGCCGTCTCAGCGCCTGCTTGAGCAGCTCGGGGTCCGCGTCTTGGTGTCGCCGTAGGACAAGGTCGAGCGAGGGCCCCATTGGCGTGAGCTCGACGCGCGGCACCCTAGTACCCGACGCAAGTAATCGGATCGTGTACGAGCGAATATGGACCTTGGGCAGCGCTTCGCCTTGTGGCTGCACATCGCCTGTGATTGCGCCAAGTGTGGCAGTCGCAGAGGTGGTCGAAGATAGCGAGGGCGGTGTAGGACCGAGTGTGACAGAGACGACATGTCCGAGTCCCGCAAGGTGAATTCCGTCAATTTCTTCACCATTGAAAAAAGAGAGTAAAAACGACTTCAGTTGCACCAGTCGCGGATGAGTCGTGAACAGTTCAGAGGCAAAGTGCATGAGTGGTTTATGTCCCGGCGTGCTTTTTGGTGTCTGGAAAAAATCAGAGAAGGAGAATGATAGGATTTTGCACGACGCACTTTGAACTCTTGCATGGACACAAAGTCCTCAATCCCGACCTCGAGCATGTCGAACACTCGGTTATCGAACATACGCACAAAGGTCATGCCGCCAGGACGCTTTTTAGTGCTTTGTCCAACGACGAAAAGGCTTGCGTCGTTCTTCTGCGCCCAGAACTCAAGCGAGGAGGTGTCCTCGAACGGGCGGACGGCGTTCTTCTTCGAGAAGGAGATGGCGTGCGGACGTTTGAGGGCCATCTGGAGAGAACATGAGCATGCAAAGAGAGAGAATGAGGCACATGACGCACGAGCTCCTTCATAGCGTTTTGAACCTTGTCCCCAGCATGTGTTCCGCGAACAAATATCGCTGTGCGAGGGCCTTCGACCTCCTTTGGCTCGCGAGCCTGAAGGGCGCGCTTTGATCGCGCATTTTTAGGTTTTCTGGGTTTACAATGTTAGAAAGAGTACCAGAAAATGGAATGAGGACGCACATTGTCCGCAGCATTCAAAGAGGAAGGCAAAGCAGCGAGAGAAGAGAGACGATACGCAAGAGCAGCTGGGCGTCTGGAGGAAAATGCTGGTCCGGCGCATCACCGACGTGCTCTGGCGCCCCGCCTTCTTCTTAACCCGGCGCAAGTCTCCCGGGACGCTGTCAACGCCCACCATCCCCGCTACCTCACTTACTGCCGCCCTCCCGCGGGGCTCGCCATCATGAAGGTGGCGGTCGAAGGTTGTTGTCACGGCGAACTCGACGCCATCTATGCTCAGATCGCACACCTTGAGCAGAAGAACGATTATAAGGTCGACCTCCTCCTCGTGTGCGGCGACTTCCAGGCGATCCGTAACGAGCGCGACCTCCAGTGTATGGCTGTCCCCGACAAGTACCGCAAGCTAGGCGAGTTTTACAAGTAGGTGCGCCGTTCATGTGTGTGCGTGTGCGCGTGGGCGGGCTGAAGCTTGCGCAGGTACTACACCAGCGAGAAGGCCGCGCCGATCCTGACCATCGTCATAGGGGGAAACCATGAAGCTAGCAACTATTTTTGGGAGCTCTACCACGGTGGTTGGCTTGCACCCAATATATATTTTCTCGGCCATGCTGGATGTGTCCAGGTAAACGGCACCCGCATCGCGGGTGCTTCAGGCATCTTCAAGCCCCACGATTTTATCCAGGGTGCGTCACCCTGTCCCCTCACGAGTACAGTATTCCTGATGCATGTGCACATCTAGGTCACCATGAACGTCTGCCCTACAGCGCAAGCGCAATGCGTAGCATTTACCATGTTCGAGAGTACAACATCCGGCGACTATCCCTTGTATGCGCTTTCTTTTCTATTCATACACTTATTGAGCCTCTAGTGCTTTGTAGCTGTCGCCTCCCGACGTATTCCTCTCGCACGACTGGCCGGCCTCCATCGAACATTACGGTAACCTACCGCAGCTACTCAAGCGTAAGCCCTTCTTCCGCGCAGACATCGATAAGGGTCAACTCGGAAGTCCACCGCTCATGGGCCTTCTGCGACAGCTGCGACCGCACTGGTGGTTCGCAGCGCATTTGCATGCACGATTCGAGGCGTTTGTACGGCATGTACCTTCCGATAACCCGCCTGAGCAGAGCCCGGAGCTGACGAAGGTCGAGAATCCCGACGAGATCACCATCGACGACGACGAATTTGACACATCTATACCTATGCCTTCCTCTGTTGCGTCCCTCGCCGTTTCCACACCAGTACTACCATCAGATCCCCCGGCAGCGTCCACTCCAGCGCCAGTACCGACGAACCCCGACGAGATTACGCTGGACGATGAAGAGGCCGATGTTGCTGTGCCGCCGCCTCCACTATCGCAGTCGCCGTTCGCAGAACCTACAGAAAACCCACCAGGGCACGAGACCCGCTTCCTCGCTCTCGACAAGTGTCTCCCGCGGCGACAATTCCTTGAGGTACGTCTACTCCCTCCCTTATTCTTATTTGCCTGGCTTAATGTTACACCCAGGTTGTTGATATCCCGTCTACGAATGCCGCGTCGCCACCCGTACTCACGTTCGATGCCGAATGGCTAGCGGTCGCGCGCGCATTTAATGTGCATATGCCGCTCGGGCTCAGGCAGGCGCAGTACCCCAGCGAGGACGAGGCGCGTACAGCAGTACGCGAGGCGAGCGTGTGGGTGCGTGCAAATGTGTCCGGCGTAGGCCCTGATGCCAATGGCTCTGCCGCTGCTGCTGCCCTATCGGATGTTCCGAACGAGACAGCCGATACCTCAAATATACCCGACGCTCTGCCGACGAAACGCATTGACGACGTACAGCAGTTTGCTATCACGGCGCCACCGCCGGGTACTCCAGGATCCCAGGGCCGCACGCAGCCGCCATACTACCCTAACCCACAGACAGCGGCGTTCTGTCGGATGCTCGGGGTAGAGAACCTCGTGGACACGATTGGGATGGGGAGATCTGAAGTGTAATGCTACAGCATATTGTTTTGCGTGCTAATGTTGTGGCATGAGACATGTATATCTCTCGTGTGTGTTATGTTCGTCACTCCTATCGCCCGCCTTGAAATATCACTTTCCAAAGTGCTGAGTTGCTACTTTGTTGCTTGTGGGGCATACAGGTACACTGGCCGGAACAATGAACAACCTACTTTGCGGCTGTAAGGCACCGCCACGAACTGGCATGAATTGCCGCAGGGAGGCAGGGCGCCTAACGAATTCCGCTGTCTATCACCGCCTCCATGGGCAAGCTGCGATCTCAGGCACAACACAACGAATGTAAGAGCATAATATCTCAGGTACACAGTCTATACATTTTGACCAATAGCATGACTAACGTTAACGATACTGTCTCGGACTTGACGTGCAAAACCTGCACAGCAGCACGCCAATCGCTTTTGCCATGTTAGGCTCGGGAGAATCGTCGCACGAGGCCGTCTACAACCGCTGTGCGCTGCCCCAAGAGCTGATAGACCAGATTGTCGACGCTCTCTCTTCTTCCAAGCATAGCTTACGTGTCTGCACACTCGTCGCGCATGCCTGGTTACCATCCAGCCGCCGGTATCTCTTTGCCAGCGTACAGCTCAGCGAAGACAAATTCGTCGAGTTTCTGGCCTTTGCGAGGACGTGTGCATTTGGCCCCCAATACATTCGCGAACTCACATTCAACGGTCACCAGCCTCAACAGGTGATGAGCAATCGCACCGCAATCTCGCCTGCATATCTCCACAGCCTGCTTGCCTACCTCCCGCAGCTCGAGTCTCTCCTATTGTTCATGGCATGCCTGCGCGACGAGAGCAGTAATGCGCAAAGCCTCCAGGTCCCACCCTCGAACTTGGAAGGTTCCACAGGGCAGACGTCTGCACTAAAAAGCCTCACAATATATTATAGCGGCACGCAGAACGACCGGTTCACCGACCTCGCACACGTCATAAGCGTATTCCCGTACATCGGCAGGCTATACATGCGCTCCCAGCGTTTCCGCTCCAATTACAGCCCTGACGATGTCCCTCGCGAGCTCGCCGACACATCTCCTGACGTTATTGTGCGCCTGCCGCCTGTGCAAGCGCTTGTGGTAGACGACAATGACTTCCGCACGAACTTATACCTTGCAGTTGCCGTTCAGTCGGTGGCATGGTGCGACAACCTCCGTGCTATTGAGATACAAAGCCGGCAGGCCTGGGACCACAAGATGTTGGGAACACTTCTCCGTGTCACTGGAACACGCCTCGAGTACCTCTCGCTTCAGCTTTCGAAGTTGTTTGAGCCCGAAAGTGCGTATTACAACTTGTATGCGTCAACATTGTTCGCTGAACTTGAGCCTCTAGACGTTGAGGCCTTCGTCGAGGAGCTCAGTCTTTCGTCCTGCATAGCGCTGGCTTCGCTCGCATTGCAGCTCCACCCGAACCCCTTCCTCCTCCGCCCACTGTCATGGGCCACGCTATGCACACTAGTCGGCTCAATTCCTAGGACAACACTCGTGCGACACATTCTTCTGCAGATCGGTGTGCGCTCCTCGCACGTGAACGACATGTTGCACCCGTGGAATGGTATGGACAATATTCTCGCAGGCTTCGACAGCCTTGAGAGCGTAGCTTTCCCCGCTGAACACTTTGCGGCATATACTGAACAAGGCAAGGAGTTGGTCAGGGGTGCCTTCCCAAGGGTGTCGAGGAAGGCGAGGATCGAGTTTCCGCTGTCCGCACAGTAGTCAATCACCTGACGTGGGCACTCCTGGATACTGTTTCTCGAAAAAAATTACGAGAGAAAATAGACTCTATAAGTATTTGAAATCATCATGCTGACGAGAAAATGGATCAAGAGCTAGAAATCAAGAATTTTTTGACGTGGATAGCTAACCGGTGCCGCACAAAATCCCCACTTCACTCGACCTCCCAGCCACAAAGCGCACTCTATTCATTCCACCCCGATGGTCGCATTACACAAGTGATACGCGAGCGGGTCCACAATAACCCACAAGTCATAATTACGCGTCCAAATCGCCGTGCTCGATCGCATACATCAAGGCTGCGGCTGATAGCAACAGCGGGTACCTTGGTGATGATGTGTGCTCGCGATGTGTGATGTTATGATGTTGTTTGCGCCGACGTGTCGTTTCTACCACTCGTGAACATAAACGTCGCACTTGTGCGTCGGGCGAAGCGTCGAGGCAGACCGCTCCATGACCGATGGTCGTCTACCATACGGCGATTGGACGTCCTGAGAGTGCTTATGCAGACTGTGTTGGAGGCAGTCTATTAGTAAACTGATACTCGATTTGCAGGAGGCTATGCACATGAAAATGCCTCGATCACTAAAGCCAGTTGCAGCCAAAATACCCATCTTGCTACCAGTAAGATACGGTACATTTTTTTCCCGGCGATCGTAAAAAGCAGGCAACATGCGGGGTTAGAGCAAAGTCAGGCATAGAGTATACTAAACAAAGTCTTTACAATAGCGGCGGCCGCACCCACGAATCCAAATTTCCACGATGCGCATCGGAAGTCAAAGCCTGTGCTTGCCATCTCAGGCGAATTCGTCAAAACGCGACCAGATTCCGTCAGAAAATGATAATCACAGCGGCAGCATGTTCATACCCGTCGCCAGCCTGCGAGAGCTTCGTCAGCCAGCCGACAGGCGACACATCGACGGGCAGTGCGCGCCTCGGTGAACTCTGTCATAGGCAGGGGAAGGTTACGCGGGACATTGTCACCTCGTGATCAGGATCCGCCAGCATCTTCGCCGCAGCTGCCATTATATTCGTGTTACGGTCACAATTCCGCCCGCGAGGGCCATCCAGAGTTCCGTAATGCAGGTCCTGCAGCGCCTCAGTCGCTCCGATACGGCGGACCTCGCAATCTGAATTAGCCATCCTCTCGTAATCGCCCAGCTGATAGTCAGATGCGACTGACCTGCCGACGACTGGCTGTGCCGCATTGGGGCAAACTTGTCCCATTGCTGTCAATGAGTGCACCGAAACGAGACATGATGCCGCGTGCAGAGACCGTGGGATGCGATCTGCGATGCCTGATCTTGTAATTAACTGTGCACTGCCTTTGCGGGGGCTTGTGCATCGTGGCGGGCTTGATTCATAACGAAGGGACGCCCAGGCCTGCCATCGCCTGCGTGCTCCTTTACCACGCCCAGATTCTAGATGATAGGGAGCCCCAAAAACGGCTGGGTGTCGCGAGGAATTGGAGCCGTGAGCTGTGCGTGGTAGGCGATGATCAGTTCAAGGAAACATCGAAGCCGTGGGCTCACCTACGGCAAGCAATACGAGACACGGCACATTGCTCGTGCCGGCTCGACCGGATAGAAGCGGATACATGGCGGCAAGACGAAGCAGGTAGACGACTCGAGTCCGTGCCATTCTCTAGCCAGCCTCTCTTACCTGTCCATGTCGAGCGAAAGCCTGAGTTGGCTTGGAGCCCGGTCTCCGCATAAGGGGACATCACGGTGGTGCGACTGTGTGCAGATGAACAGCCAGAATTGCCAATTCTATCTCTGAGTTACATAGTGTCAGGTCAAAGATATTTTTTACAACGAGAACAATTCCTACTTTCAGCATATTCCGTAAATGCGTCCTTCTACAGCAGTTCCCTTGCCACAATTTTACTGCACCGCAACAACCATCAGGACTTACGTGCATAACAATCCTAGAACCAAGCTGTCAGCTCATCGTGGTTGTTAGAAATGGCAATTCAATCTACGGAGTCAATCACCAAGAGTGATCAGAAGGGCTCCCCGTCGTGCGAAACCGTGACCGAGCCCAGGCGGCATGTCAGCAGCAAGAAGCAGGTTATGTAACGGCCAGCCTCGTGGAGCGTCGTCAACTTCCCCTAGGATGGTCGACTCGGGCCTGTCGGGGATCGTTCGTCGATAGCGGCCGTGACCACCGCGCTGACCGCTGTTGAACAACGCGGTGCTGTTATCCCGTCAACTGAGTGAAATCTGCTCCGCATTCAACGTATCTGGATTCGACAGGCCACAGATCTTCTCCCTTCTTCTGTGCGACCACCAGCAACCGCGCCAGCTTCGCGTGTAACAATCCTCCATAGCAAGTTCTCGGCCGTCTATGCCAGGAAGCGACCGTTCAAGTGCGCGATGTGAACACATCTCCCGAAAGCTTCCACGAACCCTATACCCCGGCTGCAGGGGCAGTACGGGCCATCTGGGCAACAGAAAAAGGGGTTTCCAGCAACGCTAGGCGACCAGAACGACGATGAGACTTCCGTCAGAAAAGAGCCGCATCGCCTACCCCGGCGAAAGGTAGTGCTAGATCATTTCGAGTCATCAGCCGGCCTGCAAGCTGCATCAGCAAGACGCTGCGGCAGCCAACGTCAGCTGTACCTGTCGGAGAATTCCTTGGGTGGGCGATAGGAGCTGAGCGGTGAATGTTGCCGAGCGGCGTCTTGCGAGAGAAAAAGTTCCATTGAGACCTTCTCTATCTGTATGATCACTGAGCACACGTTTGGGAAGGTGCAGGCGGCGTGTCCGATGGTATAGAATGCGTCAATATGAGACGGTTGCCGCAATGTAGAGCGCACGGACGGCTGTATTGGTCCACCAGGGGAGGGTCGCACAAAGCGCCTTTGGCGGCCTGGTACTTGGATATTTGGATTTGGACTGCGCGACATCAGCGGTCTGGGCCGAACGCCCATAATGCTTCACATGCTGTCCAACTAGGGTTGAGTTTGGCAGCCAGAGCAGGTACGTAGGTGGAACGTGCTCACAGATCACTGGACGGGAGACAGGCACGGTTTCTAGCAAGGTATCTCGCGTTCGACATTTGATGACTTGTCCCGGCTTCCCATCTGGATACACAGCGCAAGTTTCTGGCACAACTGTGTTAGGTATTACGTTCGCTTTATGACGGCACCGGTAATTCTGCGCTGGAGGGTCGGACAAGCCTCTGGTGGCATGACCACCGAGAATGACGGCCCCCAGCTCCTCCTTGCGCGCCCTGCAAACGCCACTGAACTGCTGCTGGCGGTAAACACGGATCGATCAATAACAAGTGGGTACGAGCACTCACCACTACAATGGCGCATGTGGGATACGAAATACGAGGGCGACTGATAGCACATCAGATGCCAGCGAGGCCCCGTCCGTTCCGTGGGCCGCCGGTGCTCAAAGAGGGGAGGACAAGGGTTTGAATTTGATTCGTGATGAGATGTGAAATCACCGAACGGTGCAAGTTCGGTGGAAAGAACGAGCGCAAAGCATGGACAACGACGATGCCTATGCGAACTAAACCCATCGGGGTAATGCCCCCTGCAAGCGTCGGCGCAGCCTAATCACGCTGGCCCTGGCGTGCGCAAGAGGCGAGATGCTGATTGCGAGATTGCGTCTCACGGGATCTCGATGGTATCATCAGCATCAGCTCCACCGTCGTACATAGGCAGTCACTGGTGACCCTCGACAAGCGGTGGGCGGGGACAGAGCTGGTGGTGTTCGCACTGCGTCAGCTGCCGTCTGGAGGTTCCACGCTGTCTACCCACCGTGCACGAGCCCGGCTGGGCACGCCATCACGCGCGAGCGCAGTGCCCACCGTCGGGCCGTGGACGGGCACAGAGGATGTCCGATGCTGTTTTCGGGCATGCTGAACGAAATGAACTATCTAACTCAATCGAGAGGGGACCCGTCTCCTGATTGAGCGTCCTGGGGATGTGTTGTTCGCAGCGAGCGTTATCGTGCCCTGGGGAAGTTACGTTACCCTCCCGCGTTCTCACGCGCTGCGGACCGCTCCGCCCTTGATACGCTCTGAAGCTGCGTCCGAACAGATGTGTTGTTGGTATCAGCCACCAGACGCAGGCTCACACGACGGCCGCTGCTGATATGTTTCTGCCTGAGAACAACGGCTGCTCGATGCAGACAAGGGCAGGCCGAGGCAGGCCCCTGCGCGGCGGGTGATGGCCGAGCTGTGACCCGTGATCCGACGGCCATTCGGGATGTCTTCCATTTTTGGAGATAAAAATGATTGGGGATAGCGCGCAAGAGACGCGTGAAGACGCGTGCGAGCTTTTTGATCAACGACGTCCACCACCGCCAGCCCCGTTGCTCCAGAGCCCACCAGTCGTCTCCGGAGAGCGTCGACTCATACCTGCTCGTTGTCTACCGCCGCGCGACTGTTGCAGAAAACGTCGAGCACACAGATCAGTTGTGAGTGGTTGGCGTGTGTTGGCTGATTGATGCCATGTAACAAGGTTCGCATCATCCTAGGGACTGCAGAGAGGTCAGCAGCACCCTGCGCTTCCGTCTTCTCGGGTTCGTTTTGCATCAAACATCGCTCTCGCAGCTCAGTGCTTTCCGGACAGCCTTGAGAAGAAATGTATGTTGTTTCCGTTATATAATCCCCGTCCAACGTCCCGTTTGTTGACGCCACCAATCCATCATCAAAGGTCCCCACGAGCTTCTCCCCGACGCAGCCCTCCTGGGTCCCCAGTCCAGTCTCTCCGCCATCTCCAAGAGGCACCCCCATCCCGAAGAGACTCGCCTCCGACCGCCATCGACCCCGCTCTGTCTGATCCTCGGTCGGCAAACTCCGCTGTGCACTATCACTATCACCAGCACCCGCCTCCTCCTCCAGGCTATTACACCGTAGACCGCTGGGTGCGTCCATCTCCGTTCCGCACCGTCAGCTTCTCCTGTTGATCTTCTGATCCTTCACTCCCAGCATCATCAGCACTCAAATTTTGCCCAGCCCGTATACCAACACCCGCATCATCGCTATCCCCCTCCGCACCCAGACGTCGAAGGCCACAGCATGCCCCACCGTGTAGACTCTGCCGACAGATCTGGCAGTATGAGGTGAGCTTTCAGCTACTGCCATCACCATCAACACATCCCATCTCACATCCAGCCGCCCGGATAGCCACAGGCCTGAGGACCGGGGACCATACGACCATCCGAACACTCACCCATCCCCGCCACCTATCGCTGCCATACATAACTCGCCCGCTCCATCGCAAGCTTCAGAACAAGTCGCTTCTCCCTCACCTCCAGTGAGTCCTCTCGTCTTCTACTCGCTCGTCGTTCCCTTCTCACCAAATGCAGGTACCTCAGCAAGCCTATTACCAAGGCCCTCCTCCCCCCAACGGCCCCCCGATGCACCAAGCATATCCGTACCCTCCCCACGCCCGCTACCCCGCTGACCCGGCCGTCCAGATGCCGCCTGGCTACCCGCCGAGTTCGCACTATGCACCACCGGTAGGCCATGTTTCGACGCGTTCGATTCAGCCTATCCATGTCTCCTCACAGCCTGTTTTCGAACAGCCCTCGTATATCGTCCATACGGATGATGCAGCGACGAAGCTGAACGACCGAGTCCGCAGGAAGTGCTACAACTGCCGGACAACCGACACCTCGACTTGGCGCCGGTCGAGTCTCACCCCGGGCAAAGTGGTACGTGGCCCTTTATGGTTGGGTAGGTGTTTGGTTCTCATGTCTGCTGTGATAGCTCTGCAACAAGTGTGGCCTCTTTGAGCGCACTCACTCGCGGCCCCGGCCGGAGCAGTTCCCGCACAAGCGTGGACCGATCGTGACGAGCACGTTCAAGAGCTCGCGTAGCCCGCCGCCGCCGAGCCGTCTCCCGCCGATGCAGCACCACATGCCGCCCCTCCCACCACATCACTATGACCACCCGTCGATTGCGCCGCTCATGCCACCTCGTGCGGATGGCCATCCCCACTACGCGCCTCCTCCACCCCCGCCAGGGGCTGGAGGCTCGCCCAACCCGAATGCTATCGGGAATCTGCTCAACAGCCCGCACGCAGGCGGTGCGCCGTCCTCGCACGGTGCCCTTGGTCACGCTGGTGCCGTCGGCGCCCACGGCTCGCCTGTGCCAGCTCATGCATCCGCCGGAAGTGCTTCTGCATCAAGCGGAGCGGTCGCGCATGCCGAAAACGGCGATGCGCAGGGCAACGGCGCGAACGGCGCTGGCAACTCGCTCAAGCGGCCGCGCTCGCCGAGTACGGACCGCAGCCCGCGTCAGGAACAGCGGAGCCCACCGTACGCTCACCGTGCGCCTGCTTCGACTACGTCCGCGGCATAATCGAGTCGTCCCATCCTAGAGCTCTCTCGCGTTCCCGAAATTCCTCTCGTCGACTCTGTTTTGTTATTGGTTCCTGGTGCTCGGACCGCTGGTGCTGCTGTCTCGCTTCCATTCTCACCGATATTTCTCCTCTCGTCTCTCTCTCTGTTGATGGTACGGTTGTCGCTCGAGCCCTATATGTGCGCACGGTCGCTACGCACGGGTCGACGGCGGGTATGGACGCGGAATGCATGGACAGATCAACGCAAGTACCGCGCAAGCGGAGGCCTTGTTCGATTCTTGCCCCGCGATACGGTCGTGCGCCGTTGGTATTGCCCGCAAGACGGGCGGCATGCTACTTGGTGCTTTCTCACGTTTTTCTCTGAACATGCTGCCTTGCTCGCTTCCCATCTGAGTTGTGAGACGTTCCCCCAGCTTCCCTTCCCCGAACTCGCTCTTCTTTCGTACCTCTATGTAGTACCCTTACGCAAAAATCCCTCCGCTGGTTGACGACGATTTGTCCAAATACTGATATGTTATCTTCTAGTCTGTTTTTCTTGTTCAAACTGTAGTGCTTTTTTTCTACTCGCACCCGGCCCCGTACGGTTTTGCATATGAAAGCTAAATATCTGATCCCCTGACTTCGTGCAGGCGTACGGTTTAGTCTCGGTACCATAGTGGATGTCCTTCGGTGTGAACGAAATATACTAGTGCTGTTCATTCAGCGGTGGCATTCGAGTGTGCGTTTTCCCGTGTTTTTCACCCGTCGTCCGCGGAGTAACGTAACCAAGTGTAACTGTACAACGCTGTCCCAAGGCGGCTCCATTTGACGGTGCCGGTCTGACAGAGTGACCGGCCGAGAAGGCTGATCCACACGTACACACGGCCCACTCGCTGTCAGCGGGACCGCGTGATGCGCTCTCCAGCGTGCGTGGGCACAAGTACAGCACACGCGTGCATGCTGTTGCACCAGGCCTACCTGTGCCTGGATGCCCGAGCTGGACAGCGTGAATCTTTGCCTCCGCAGAAAACTTTACTTTTACACCTATGGCGGGCGAACGCGATGCGGGAGCGTTCACCGTCCCTGTGAAGATGGCGGTACCGGTGCGCGCTGGAGAGGCTGTTGCGCGCCCATGTACACCCTCGCCCAGGCCACGTCGGCCCTGCAAACGGCGCCCGCCTCGCTGGAAGTGCGGCCGAAAGCATCCGCCCCATGCACATCTCCGAGCTCGCCGTGCGATTCGTACTCGAGGCCCGTCGTGCGCAGGGTGGAATTTCGCCGCATCAGATTGCATATGGCAGGTTAGATGATGAAGTGGAGAGAAGATCAGTTCGCACGCTCGTTGGCCGCGGACGGCCGGATTCAATGCAATAATGCAGTGCGGGATCGATCAGACGACGTTGGTATCAATCGACTCGACGCGTCTCTCTGCGCAGACTACGGTTTGTGGCTCAGCGCTCAGCAGTGTTAGCGGCCAGTGATCAACAACGGATCAGCCAGCCAGAGATGCGATCGCGCTGCCAGAAGTAGCAGCACGACACCGACTTCAAAGGCGGATTCCGCCTCCGAAGAGATGTAGCCGATGCACCGCCGCGTGACAACGGGCCAGATGATGGCGCATGCCATATATACAATGGCAAGGTTCGTTATTTCATTTATCTCATCACACGCGAAGCTGGAATTCAACGAAGACGAAGACAGATTGCCACGAAGTCGCCTTTGCGGATATGCGCATCTGCGGTACCCACGGCCACACGACTACCGGGAAATGAGGCGCATGATCGCTTATATCACGCACGTACAGGCCGAGACGTGCCTGATGGGCCTCTACACCGACCGCCAGCAGCGTTGGCGGGAAGAGCTGGGGCAGGCCGACGAGTGGCAGCCATCGAGAATGTGCTCGTGTCCCCGTCAGAGGGTAATAAACGAAATCAGTGAAATAACTAACCTGTGCATCATTGGCGAAAGAAGCCCCATATCGGTGTGCACGAACGTCCGGAAGAACGCGTGTAGACCCTGGGTGTTAAGCTTGTCATCATCGCGGCCATCTGGTTTACGAGGTCTGCCGAGCCCAACACATACATCTCCCACCTTCAGCTACCGGTTCCAGGCGCAGCCTTCCAAGTGCCATACACGAGGCATGCATCGACGTCGTCACCAAGTGTCATGGCCAGCCACGGGATGAGGACCCTTGACGGAAGGTGGGTAATGTGCTGGAACTGGCGCGAGCCTTACCACGGTCCCTGGAGAAGCAGAAGCTGGTATACCCACATGGGTGCGGAACACGCGTGGGCGACGCACTTGTCCTGAGATGCGATCAGCTGCAGGCTCGGGGTGACCATATCAATGTTGGGTGATATCCTGCCGCAGGTTCCACGCGAAGACCGGCAAAACGGAAGAAGACGGCCGCCGGCATGGAGCTGGGTCTCAACTGTGGACGATGAATAGTTTGATAAATATAGCACTGTATAGGCTGAAAAAGTCAGAAAGCTCATATAGGCGGAGAGCAGACCGTAAGGCTGGTTGAAGGAGTAGGAGTGGAAGAGCCGAGGCTTGCACCTCCTCCCCGTGGGCTTGGTCGCAATGACGAATACTCTTACCCGTTTTATTGGCGTCCGCATACTGCACCCGCTCCAGGGTACACACATCTCCAATTCGAATGCACCATCGAAGTCCTAGGATGACTGTATCAAAACGGCACTGATACGAACAATCTCGCGGTTAACGTTCACAGCAGGCTGTCCTGAGGAGCCACGCCCAACTCCGACGGTATTGCCCTCAAACCGGTCGATACCCGCGTCCAGCTTCTCAGCAAGCGACCAGGGGTCTGCGGGCGTACTGCGTTAGCGGTAATGCGTCTTGTTGACGGTAATTATGCATCTTCTGGCCAGTGGGCGGCAATATATTGCGGACGGCCCGCGGTCGTGGTCACGGTGGCGGCGTTTCTTGTGCCAGACTCTCTATTGCGCGCAGGCATGTACGCCACTTCGGAGATGCCCGCCTGTGATGCCGTGCCGTAAGATGCACATGTAGCTACTGATAGCAGGTCTTGGAAGGGGCTGTCCTTGGCATCGGTGCTTGTGACCAAGCCGGCCGTAGGAAAAGCGAGCTGCGAGTCCTCCCCATGCACGTCGGACGGTACGCCAATGCCGACAAACTATATCAACGAGGGTGCTACGTCAACCAATAGACACGCGGAATGAGTGGAGGGGCCGTACAAGGGCCACAATGGCCATGTCTCGAGGACGACATCCGCATCCACTTGACCCAAGCAGTTCCCTAGATGAAGACTGTCATCACTGCGCCTAGCCTGCGGAGGGAACAATGGTAGACGCACTCTGCCAGTGACTAGCGGCGGAGCTCTGCGCACTAGCACCGCCACCCGTGGGTGTCTCTTGTCCTGTGCATTTCGCAAGTCCATCAAGCGCGTTAGCGGCACGTATGCGACCAGTACCAAGATAGCGCACTACACGCCGCACGAAAGGGGATGGCGGGTGGCGTATACAAAGGCGTCTGGAAGGCTTTGGTAGAGAGTCACGACGGATCGTCCACCCCACTGTTAGATTCCGAACGTTCAAACACCTGGCGGACAAGTTTCCGCCAGGATCCTACAGGCACGAACATCGACACACCCGCCATCGTGCTAAGAGCTAGGCGGACGTCCCGAGAGTATGCAATCAGCGCCAGCGTTCCAACCTCGACAACAACCACCGCCGGTGCGCTCGCCTTGGAGCTCGTCTCGGAAGGCAAGGTGGCGTTTCAGCGTCGGATTGTCTATGGAGACTCTATCATCTGCGTTAGAATAGGAGTTCAACGTCGGTTCAGGGCGATTCTGAAGGCGTACCTGAGCCAGTTCCCGCCGCCGGTGCCTCCCGGTGGCGACTCATGCTTGTGAGGAATTGCAGGCCTTGCATCGCGAATCAGGGCGTCTAGGGGGAGCGTGAGCGGCTGAATTAAAGGACATCGCTGCCTCCGTCTGAGTCTATTAATCGACTCCGTGGACATGAGCACGTCTGAGTCCATACGACCATTCGGTGAAGAGAGGTACATAGAGATAGTCACGAGGCAGACTGGTATCGACATATGCTGGGTGTGCATAGGCAGGCAGTGACGACGGCAGGCCTTTAAAGAGGTGTTCGTTGGGTGACCAGCATATGGCGATGCGCCCTCGTGCATAGCTCACTTTCGCGAGATCGAAGTCGTTGCAGTCCAACGCCGAAGACACGCTGGCGTACCTGCGAAACGTCCGATGGCAGCAAATCTTTCACAAATACAGAGCACTGGTTGCATCCACGGAAAGAAAAAAGAAAGAAAAAAGCCAGACTGAATTCTGCGCCGCCATTGAGTGGACGCACTCGACATATTACGACCACGAGACACAACGCTGGGTACGACATCATGCACGGCTGCTCGTAGTCCTTCGGACTCCGCCAGGTAGAATTATTGACATTTTAAACATGGAGGGGCGTCCACTTGCTGCGACTGTCATCGATGAGCTGCGAATGTGAACGCGAGGATAGCCACCTACAAGAACGAGATAAGTCGTGCCATCTTGCAGCTGGAATAATTCAAGATGAACCACGAGGCAGGCCTAGTGAAGTGGCGTCGACAAGCCACGGCAGTGGTGCAGCGACCAGGCCGGCTCGTGCGCGGTCTTGCCAGCGTCCTGCCGTCGGTGCCGCTAAGACCATATAGCTCGAGTGTAAGTCTTTGTTAACAGCTATTGCTCGAAAAACCGTACGACTTGTGTTGTTATGGCGGCGAAATATATGGAGCTACTAGAAGCGGAAGTTGTATACGTACGGCTTACTCAGACGAGACGCACGAAACAGCTCTTCATGTTCGCATCGCATGTTTGGCCACGATGAGTTTATTGCCACTAGAAGACCTCGCAAATCGATATGTCTACGCGACCACAGAGAACAAAATGCAAGCACACAAAAGACTGTGCCAGAAGCTGATTGACCGCTCACCAGTGGGGGTGCAATACAGAAGCGAACGGCATGCCCAGCTAACGAGTCAATTCCTCTTCTCGACCTCCTCAAACAATGGAAGCTGCACTGAGCATTCCTCAGCTGGAAGTTCGGACGCAAGCTTCAGAGGTCGAGGTAGACTGTGAGAGAGAAAAATCTTCGCGCGCGCTTATTTTAAAGGCACGCACACCCGGCATGAACCGATCCCATCTGATGGCGCCAGAGGCGGCGGTACAAAGGGCGAAATTCGCGAGCGGCAGCTTCGTCGAAAGTTTCACCTCGCGGGTTGATATTTGGGGTCGCCACTGCCGCTAGCGTCGACGTTGGCTCACGGGGCGGTCTTGAACCTTTTCTCGCAGGGAGAGAAATTTCTCTATCCTAAGATCATGCCGACGTTTACTCCTTGCAGTCGGTACGGCCCGTAATGGAGGGACAGCTCGCTCATCGTGGTCTTTTTTGTGTGTACTTTACCTCCGAAATGAATACAACCCTACTTCTGCCAAACTTGTCTAGCGTTACTGAACCCGAAGGTGGATGCGTGCATACAGGGAGAGTCTCATGCTGGATGCGGAGAGCTGGTACTTTGTGCGTCCCATTTACTCCCGCCCAGGCTGACCACTCTACAGGCAGCACCGCTTCCCGACCGACGTCCTTGCAGCAAGTCGAGGCTCGTCAAAGCTCCCTGCACTCGCTGTGCTTCAGATTCTAGTCTGGAAATGATTATCTGCGGAAGACCAAGATGCTTGCTCTTACACGTTCGTCCGCCGCCGCCGTGTAGGTTTCTCCTTTCTTCGCTGTGCTTAGATGTCACGACGCTCATATCTCCACGCGCCAAGGTCCGTGTCGGTCCTCATCCCTTCCGCTATACAACGGCTATAGACGAAACACAGTGTGCGGGGCACTCCGCGCAGTCAGCAAAGTTCGCCCATAGCTCGATGAGGGAGAGAGTTTCGGGACCAATACCGCGTTTTCGAGGGCGCCCCGCTTCCGGTCGCATATGCATCTTGTGGATCCCGCTAGGCTCGTCCGCAACTAACTCGGATGTTTGACTCGACTTCCGCGTCAACAGATGTAGGCGATCTTTCTCCTTGCTCGATGAGCGGGATTCCCTGCATACAGCGCTGCGTTACTCACCCGTATAATCCATAGGCATGACCACCACTACTGAAATGTACTGAAAGCTTCGCGTCGGCTACATGCCACCTATCTTCTGGCTGAAACGTATATCTCCTGATAAGCTTCCGCGCTGCTCCTCCTCACAAGCCTAATACAAAGGTGAGATACAGTCCCCGATTTCAGGTAGATGCATCTGAGCACATGATACAAAGGCCTAGCTAAGCGACGCCTCATCAGGATCATCCTGCGCTCACCCAAGCACCGCCCCGTCGGCTACGCTATTCCAATTCTGCGAAGTGTTTATGGCCTTGCACGTCTCGCTGCGACGTCCTGACACGCGGCGACAGCACGACAGGGAAAGATTGTCGTGCGATAGGTGAACGGCTGATGGAACTGCAGATATTGTCGCATGTGAGGCGTCGTGGACGGACGCAGTGTATGGTGGGCTGCTGTGGGCCGTTATAGACGTCTGGGGTACAATGACGGCGTGCTTAGCCGCGTTGCACCCCTTGATATCCAGATGTGTGATGCTCGGTAGACGGCGGTCGTTTGCTGCTCTCGACGCTATGATAATGTTGAGCTCCCTACTTCGGTGCGACACGCCAGCAGATGCCTGGATCCGCTTTCATCCGCATGTACGTTTTGTCGTACGAGTCTTGCTCCCTAATTCACGTTCCGTCTCGGAACACATACCCGTGCCGGCCCTGAGCATGGCGTGACGCAACTCCTCTATAATTCCGATACCGCCCTTTTCGCGTGACGTTGGTAACGAGCCACATTTTCTGTGACCAGAATTCGGCAAGGTTGCAAGCGGACTGCTTTTCACGAGGATAACTAACCGCCTCAAGCGACGGGCGCACTCTGCGCTGAGAACGATTAGTTTGGCTGACGGCACGACTTGGTATATTCAGCGCTTCTATCTATGTCAGAATCACGCAGCTGCTAGACTGGCGAGCATACGAGAGGATCGGTGTTACTTAGAAAGGCAACACCGATACCGGTCCCGCCGCATTGCCTAAACCGACATGCCCGCTGACCGTAAAACACGTGAAAGCATGTGAGACTCTGGGGCTAACTGATCCCAGGTCGACGTTTCGGCACGCATATAGCCACTCTTCGGATTGAACCCTTCCACCTGCTTTCCTGTCCACTCTCTCGCATACCACCATGTCCTCGTTCGCCCAGAAGCTCTCAAACATCGCCGGCACGTCTGCCAAAGCCCGTGTCACTGCCCCAAACGACAACGACGTGGTCATCGTCGCCGCTGTACGCTCTGCATTGACAAAGGTGCGTTCCCCAGTGCTTAGGAATCTCAAACGAGGGCAAACCGTACCTTTCGTATAGGGTAAACGCGGCGGCTTCAAGGACACTCGGCCAGAAGAGATCCTGTGCGAAGTCTTGCGTGCGGTGTATCGCAAGGCCGGCGTTGATCCCGCACTCATTGAGGATGTCGCCGTCGGAAACGTGCTCCCGCCTGGCGGGGGAGCAGGTGCGGCACGCATGGCCGCCCTCGCCGCTGGTATCCCAAACACGGCTGCGGTGAATACTGTAAACCGCCAGTGCTCGTCTGGCCTGACAGCACTGACGCAAGTTGCGAACGAGATTGCCGTGGGACAGATTGACATAGGTATCGGTGAGTACTGGCTCATTCCCAAGTCTTCACTTTCTCGCTCCTCCCCCCACACGATGAAGACAAATATGCGAGCTGGCGGTCTCCTGAGGTGCAGTTCAGTGGCCATGGCCGCTTACCTCAAGCATGACCTCAAGCATGACCAATAAATGATATTTAATTCAGCTATGCAGCTTGACTAAGTACCACCGCTGTTTTGAGCATGTCTTCTAACCAATATTTTCAGGCGCTGGTGTTGAATCTATGACCTTCGGTTACGGTGCGCGCGCTCAGGCCGACGAGTACTCCGAGAAGGTCCTCGCCTGCCAAGAAGCCGAGGACTGTCTTATTCCCATGGGCATCACTTCCGAGAATGTCGCCGCAGATTTTGGCATCACGCGCCTGCAGCAGGACGAGTTTGCCGCTGCATCTTACCAGAAGGCAGCGGCTGCGCAGAAGGCGGGCAAGTTCAAGGACGAGATCGTGCCTATCAGAGTCAAATGGATCGACTCCAAGACGGAGAAAGAGACCGAGATCGTTGTCGACCAGGACGACGGCGTTCGCGACGGTGTCACTGCGCAGAGCTTGTCGAAGCTGAAGCCCGCGTTCAAAGAAGGAGGCTCGACGCATGCGGGTGTGTCACCATTCGCTTATCTCTATACTACAATAATTCATACCCATTGCAGGTAACGCATCACAAGTCTCAGATGGTGCCGCCGCTGTCTTGCTCGCCCGTCGCTCTGTCGCGAAACGTCTGGGCCTACCCATCGTCGGCAAGTACGTCACCAGCGCAGTCGTTGGCGTACCGCCGCGCGTCATGGGCATTGGCCCTGCGTTCGCAATTCCTAGGGTGCTCGAGAAAACCGGTCTCTCGAAGGAAGACGTTGATTTCTATGAAATCAACGAAGCGTTCGCCAGTCAAGCCGTCTACTCAATTCTCAAAATTGGTATCCCATTCGAGAAAGTTAACGTCAACGGTGGTGCGATCGCTATTGGGCACCCGCTTGGATGCAGTAAGTGTTGTATATTTGCCAGAGTCGGTGCAGAGGCTCACGGGCATTACAGCCGGGGCACGCCAGGTTGCAACGGGCCTCAACATTGCGAAGCAGACAGGTAGCAAGGTGTTTGTTACGAGCATGTGTATCGGCTCTGGCATGGGAATGGCTGCTGTCTTTGTCAACGAGCAGTGACCAACTCCTACACATCTGCGCCGCTGACAGCTGCTGGCGAGTGTAGTAAGTCAGTGCTGTAGCTGGATTATTTTGGTTGTAAGATGTACCAGATGACTTCAGTTTATCTCATATTACCTGGGAGTTGTTGTACACTCGAGGGCGTCCGTGCGTTTGGCAGTCCTGACCAGGGCGAGGGAGAAGCTTAAAATGTGTATGAACCCTCCGAGCCTCGTGCTCATGAAAGACTGACTATACAGCTGAGCTATGGCGGTGCCATACGCATGTGACACTCGAGAGCGAAATGTTCGCGTTTGGGATACTCTGCCTTGAGGTGGGCGTCCGCACCGCTTTTCTCCTCTGCACTGGACTGGACTGATGCTATTGATGCGTCCAGCTGTACACCGGCAAGATCCCGTACTTGCGACCGACACGCAGGCTGCAGCCCTCCAATGCCTCGCCATCCTGCCCTGCAGATTCTGCCCGCCACTGGCGCAGGGCTCGTGGCAGCCCGTATGTTGGTCGCTTGAGCCGAGTCGGCACCCCATCGCCCGTGCCGTAGCATACCGTCTGGGCGAACCTGCAATGTTTCAGTAGTAGCTCTATCGTACACTGGTCTTGGCCTTGGCTGTGTAGGCAAGTGAACTGTGCTCAGCCCTGATGTCCGAATATGTCTTGTATGCTGTTCCAATGTTACTGTACTACTATGATGGCACCCTGGTTTATAAAAATTGAGCAAATCTGCTTCTTGTAGCTTACCACAACCCCTCTTCGTGAGCGGTTTTGCATAAATCGATGTGCGCACACCTTGACTATGTATTCGCATTTTTGTTGTATTTTATTGAGGTCTTGCAAGAGCTGCGGATCGATTCCGGTGCGCAAAATGGGACCTGCTCCCTCGTTTATTAATTTCGTCACACTAGTGTCACACCAGATGCCGTCGAGTCGTGCTGCTGCCGAGAAGCCGAGCCGTCTTTCCAAGGTCGACCTTAAGTCACGTAGGCACACGCGAGAACATGTATACGGGGGACCTGGGGCCTGCCAGGTCCTCCCCGGTTTCCCATGCGCATTACTGACAGCCTCCAGTGGCACTGCTGAGCGTAGGATCGTTGCGACTTGCTGTCGAGAGCCCCTCGTTGCCTGCCGTGTCTGAGATCAGGCGGAGTGACAATTTCATCACACCTTGCCCGTTCATTGTAACGCTCCACAACTGTTCCTTCTCTGTGCATGTACCTAGCACTTTTAAAACAAAATATATTAGCCTACCAGGCTCAGTGCAAGTGCACAAGTTCATAAATGTAGTCGCAAGAATATTTGGTGAGCGAGATCTGGTTGGATCTAGCCATCAGTAGCATGTTTCAGCCAGTTTTAGACTGCTTCTGAGCATCTACAAAAATACCATACCGTCTTTCACCTTATATATGTCATGATATGGGTAT